CCGTCCTTTCCCGCCCTCCCCCCCCCCCCCCCCCCCCCGCTTCCCCCAGATGATCTAGTTGGGGGAAAAGAGAGAAAAGTGACAGGCCCTCCGAGAGCATCGGAGTTGCCATGACAAAAGGGTTTAGCGCTGGGAATTGTTGCTGGTCCTTGGAGGATCGTCGGGCCTGTACTTCTGGCTTCCGCCCCGAAAGACCTTGACCTTGGACTCGATCTCCTTTTCGGCCCGCTCGACTTTAAATCTGTACCGAGAGGTCCGCCTGGTGCCTGGGCCCTGGGCTGTGGCGTGGGGAGGCTTGGGAGTGGCTTTCTTGGTCGTCCAGTTGCCGTGGTCTAGTTGGAAGCTTAAAAGTAATCAACCACATTTCTTAGCCGGGCGGCGCAGTCACGATGTCGATGGCGAACGACATATATATTCATTAGCTTGATTATGAGTCCACAAGTCAGGGCATATTGAACAGTCTTGCTGATTGCCCTTTGGCCACGGCCTGGCTTGCGCCGTGGCAGATGAGTGTGTCTCCTGAGGATTTGTGGACGGCGTGAACACGGCGTGAACACGGGCATTTTCCCCATGACCGGGGTAAACGTGTTTGGCGGCTAAAGGCACCAGACGCCAAGAATGCTCAAGCAGTGATGCGTGAGCCATCACATCTCCATCTTCATAAGACTCCCGGATCGCGGACAGCACCCAGCGGCTTCTCAAGCCACCAGTCATGTGCCTGGGATGTGTAGCCTTGGCTAGCAGGTCGGAGAGAATGACTTGTTGGACAGGGTCACATTGGATGACGCGTGAATCCCTCCATGTTGCTGGAACGATGAAACGTGTGACAGCGCGACACACCCCTTCAGCGGTTTTAGACCCAAGACACGGCCACGTCGATCCTCACATGTACTCGTGTGGGGAGCGTCGTATTGGTCGCTGGAAGACCCTGCCATATCAAATTGTTGTAGAGAAGCTGCAAGTCGCACAGGAGAGGCTGGGTGCGAAAGCTTGTCCAACTAGTTACCAACTAACTAACTAACCCGACTAACCAATGCCAACCACCAGCACGCGGGCGCTACGCCAGGCAAGGAATGGTATCTGAATCCTTTGACTGCATCACCAAACCGCCATGGCCATGGTGAGCGAGATTAAGTTTGGGATGCAGGGACCAGCGCGTTCGTGCTACACGTAAAGGTCGAAAGACGCGGTACTGGGTCCGAGATAGTTGTCTTGCGAATAGGTAACCCGGCCGGCGCCGGATTGTCCGTGGTCGACGCGCGACTTAGCAATGAGACCGTGTCACAGGTATTGGTCCTTCGGCGTGAGTTCTAGAACTCCTTCTCCGTGGTGCAAGTCGAGCACGGCCACCAACCCTTGCAGGATTTGGCCGACATGAAGGATTTTCGAATGACGAAGAGGTGCTCGGCAAGACAGAGATGAGGATCGTCAACGAGTGTGAAACCCGTCAGGCTATGCTCACTCGCAACTGGACCTGACAGAGCCGCGGCATTGCTAAGCTGTCACGGCGGTTTCCACCGTCATCACCATTTGATAATGCCCAACTTGGAGGCAATCTTGTCAACTTTCCAATCGAAGGCTTGTAACGACAAGCTTTCTGGAATCGTCCCCCAATCTCTGCCCCCGCCCAATTGGAGGCTGCTGTTGCTGCCGGATGCGACCCTTGGTCCCTTACCAAAACCCTGGATTATTACTCATTGGCTCTCCGTCGAGACGGCAAGGTCTTGTTCCCACATTACCCCGAAAGGCATTTATCGCCGGGCTAGTCTGTCACAAGATGGGGAGCCAAGTCAATGCATACCCGGGCGCTTCAGAAGCCCATCCCAGATGCTGATGCACTACCCATCAGGACGCGTGGCAGCCGTGTAGCAATGCCGACACGTCTCAAGAAGTTGCGTGGTATTGCGCTCTGCCAGTTTCGGGCTTTCAGTGGGACGCGACCTCCATCCATCTCGCTGCCTTGTGCTGTGTCTTGAGTCCTGTGTCGCAACTATTCAACTCGAAACGCATAGTGCCGTAATCGATCCTCACCCTAGGAGACTCTCCTAGCTCAGCTACCATCACAGGGCCCCCCAAAAACCTCACTCAAAGCAGCATTAGCGGAAATCCAAGGATGAGGCGTTGTATCATGTGGATTCGTCTTGCATGGCTTCGGAGTTAAGAGAAATGTCCATTGATCCGAGACCCCCCGCCACATCGGCGTCGTCGACGTCACGACCGCATCCTCACAGCTACTAAACTGTGAAAAGGGGGCATTGAAAGTGTGTCTTTTTTCTCTTTTCTCCTTGATTAGTTCCCGTATCTAGGTTTAAATTCAAAGTATGTACTCCAACATGCACGCAGCCGCCGTTTTCGCATCCGGATCCTCGGCCCTAATCACAGGCGGCGCCTCTGGTGTCGGCCTGGCGATTGCAAAGCTCTGTCGGAGCAAGGGCATGAAGATTCTTCTCGTAGATGTTAATGCGGAGGCTCTTCAAAACGCCAAGAAGCAGCTTGTTGGCGAAAACGATGCCGAGTCAGATGTCGTCACGGCCGAAGCGGATGTCAGCAAGGTGCATGCTTGGGCAGAGTTGAAGAAGACTGCCACCTCGACATTCGGCACGATTGAGCTTCTCGTTCTCAACGCCGGAGTCGGTACGAGAGGAACCTGGGGAGACCAGGAGTATTTCAGCAAGGTATGCTTTCCGTTGCGAGGGCATGAAGTCTACCTACTCATACCAGGCATAGATCTTTCAGACGAACCTCTTTGGCGTGGTCAACGGAATCAATACCTTCCTGCCCGTGATCCAGGAAGCTTCCAAGACAAGGCCTACTTCTATTGTCATAACGGGAAGTAAGCAGGGTATCACAAATCCACCAGGGAACCCGGCCTACAATGCGTCCAAGTCTGCCGTGAAAACCCTAGCTGAGCATCTCAGCTGGGACTTGAAAGACACCAATACAAGCGTCCACTTACTTGTTCCAGGATGGACTTTCACCGGGATGGTAGGTCTGCTATTTATTCTTTTCTTTTTTTATTGATGGTACGTTGACAGATGCACAACATTTGCAGACCCGAGGAGGAAATACTGAAAAGCCCGCGGGTGCTTGGGCTCCTCAACAGGTAGCCGAGTACTTGTATCGCAAGATGCAGGATGACAAATTTTACGTTATATGCCCCGATAATGATGTTTCAGAGGAAACTGATAAAAAGAGAATGCTCTGGTCTGTGGGGGATATTGTGAAGGAGAGACCACCTCTTACAAGATGGCGTGAGGAGTGGAAAAAGGAAGCAGAGGAAACCATGGCCAAGACAAATGTATAATACATCCATGAGGTTCGTCAGGCACACTCCGAAATTTCGTACTCGCCCCAAGTAATACGGAATACTTCAGAATATGTATTAGATTATAAGCAAAAGTATACAACTCTGCGGGATTCCCTTGCCAAGACAACATCCATTTATTCGGTTCGCCCTTTAGCAAAACATACGAGCCTTATACGACGGTTCCCGACACCTGCTTCATCTTGCTAAGCTTGATGTCCCTCCACGGCCAGGTGCAAGCCCATCCAACCACAAGCAAGCATACACTTGTGATGAGCATATATCGCCGAGTCTGCGAATAGGCGGCAGAGATTCCGTTTCTCATCTCAGATCCCACAGGGTATGAAGCTTGCTTCCCGACTTGTCCGTAAATCTCATCATGGGAGACCCCTGGTGTAGGTTGTTGATCAGCTCATCTCGGAAAGTTCCAGTCCAGATGGCCTATGATATGGTGCTACCAACGGCAGATCCGATGCTGCAAAAGAGGTTAAGCATGGCCATGATGACAGCCACATGCTGATGGTCCGAAGGCACCATCATAGCCATCTCACCAGCAACGACCATGGGTCCTCCTGCAAAGGCAACAAAAATCTGCGTCATGATCACGTATCCAATGTCCTCCGAGGCTTGCCGGAACTTTATCATGAGGCCAACCTCCAGGATAGTAAGAGGCAGCGCGTAATAAGTAGAAACCCACTTGAACTTTCCAATCTTGTGGACAATGAGGCCAGCAATGATAGCTGCGAAGCATGAACACGGTAAATGTTGCTGATATATGTGGCCTTGGTGATGCCGGTATCCCAAACAACAAGAAGCATGGAGTGGAAGTAACCTCTCCATATGAACCACCTGCATAGATGAAGATGAAGCTCACACCAGCGGAAAAGACGGTGCGATCCAGGAGCAGCTCATATGGAATGAAGCTGACGGGTGTGAGGAATTTCTCCCACAGGACAAAGGCGACGAGCAGGACGGCGCCAAATACCAGCATGCAATGATCAACGGGGCGCGCCATTGCTCTGCCTGATAGGACCAAATGCCAAAGGGCAAAAGAAAGAGGGCCATGCCACCCGCAAGCAAGAGGATTCCAACCAAAGCCATAGCAACAATGTAGTCCCACACGTCCCTAACAGTAATCCAGCCAGTGCGTTTCTCAATGAGACCAGCCTTGACGGCTTTTCCGTCGTTGTAGAGGAACAGAACAGATAGAGGCAAGATCACAACGGGGGTAATAATGGTCCAGATACCAAATCCCCATCGCCATCCAGGACCGGCGAGCGCACTTTCAGTAACCGGGCCGCCAACCCACGTCGTGACGATGTACGGTGAGGTGGCAAATGCAAGCATGAGTGGTCGGTTGAGAAGCGATGATGTATCGGCAATGAAGATGGTGACACAATACGAGACGCCCTGGAAACTTGTTCTTGGTTAGCAAATTCGAGAACGCGTATAGTATTTAAGCGTTTTTTACACCTACCCAACAGCGTTGAAGACTTTGGCAGCGCCAAAAGTTTCCACATTATTGCAAGCCGCCATCATGATCAGGCCGATTACCCAGATGAGGACGGTCAGGGTCAGGCCCTGGGGTCAGCCCCAAGTATCCAGAATCTTGGCGAGAGGGATGTAGCTCAGACCACCGATGATGATGGCCACAATCTGAATCGCAGGAGTAATGGAGTGTTTGTTGAAGGCGCTGGTGACGAATGGATCCATGCTGAAAACGACCACTTCCTCCATGGACTTGACGAAGCAGAGAAACCAAATCCTGGCTGCCGTTAGCTTTGCCGTCCATCAGGGAGCTCGCGCCGTAAAAGTGCGTCTGGCACTTACATGACATGGGCGGTGATGAGATGTGACTTGGACCAGATCTTGGTGGTGGCCTCGATGCGAGCGACGCCAGACTGTACCTTTTCCCTGTTGAGGCGGTTGCCAGTTGCGTCCATGGGTTCCGTATCACGAACATTGTCTTCTGACTTTTCATGATTCTCCGAAACGGCTATCTCTGCCGGCTGTGCTTTAGAGAAGAGACCCATCTTGAGACGAAGTCAGTCCTTTTCCAGGCTCTGGCCACCCTGTTTTCAGACTTGGGAAACTCTGCTATGTGCACAGAACCGAGGGGAAAGGTACGAGGTGCAGGACCCCGGCGCAGGAGAAGCCACTCGCCTCTTTATAAAAATTCTGAATGTCTCATCCCACCTCCTTTCCATTGGGGATTCAGTAAAAGGTGTTGGATTTGACCCTTGCCTCGCCTACAGCCATCTCACCCACCACCGAGGCGACATCGTCTTGGCGACGTGATTGGAACCCATTTCCCGTATAATGCTAGATAAACTTGGCCCTGGTAAGTGGGTATCGTCAAGGTCGTTACGACGGAAAATCAGGGTTGTAAATGCCGGCCATGATGCTCCCTTGGTTGCGAGCGCGTGGCCCACGCCGAATCAAGCGGTTATCTGATGAGCTGACAAGATCTTTCTTCCGCAGATCCCCACTAGAGCTGATCCCCAGCGAGCTGCTCGGGTACTCATGAAGTGGCCAATAGGCCCAAGGCCTCTGTAGGGTGTGTCTAGACCTTTGCTAGTTGCGTCGTGGTGGAAAGTGAGAGGAAGAGACATAGGTGTCGGTCGTCAATGAAGAATTTTAAGGAGTCGACCATCTTTAGGGTGTAGACTTCTTGCCCCTGGCGGAATTACGATCCTTACTAAGTGTGCCGCCGAGTAATTTTGAGGTTGCCAAGGCTTTATTGGCCCAATGACTTGATCGTTCTGTTATTTGATCCCGACACGATCGTCTTGCTGTCTAGCAAGAATGGTATAGCCTTGACCGAGCCTGCGTGGCCTGCGAGGGTCGGAGAATCCGAGAGTCTTCCATTTGAGGAAGTTTTCTGAACTGATTGTTCCTACTTACCATGTTTGTTCGAGGACTGATAACTATTGCAGAGCTGTAATCCGTGACGGCCACGTTGCTATGATATGGTAGTACCGCAACAAAAAACGCGTAGCATTTTGCTTGAGTATCCATAGGAAAGGTTTGTTCTTTAAGTAGATGAGTCTTCAGCCAATCAATGATCCTGGAGGTCGAATATAGGTGACTTACGTCTGCTGCACCTTTGAGGAACTTGGAGATGAGAAAATATTTTATCGCTGATTTCTTGCAATTCTCGGGGAGACCGGCTTCGTCCTCGACAGCTTCCCAGACTTTCATGGTAAATCGATGATGGAGGTTATGCAAGATATTGACGCCTAGGATAATGCCCGCTTCGTCATTGAGGCCATGTAATAAAATGACAGGACCTAGTGAGCAACATGGGCCTTCTTTTGATCCTATTACAACAGATCCATTAGCACTATCGTTTCCGGGTGATTTCCAAAGGGAAGCCCGGGAACGGAAACGCCCGGCCCGTTCCTCATTCGCACTCCTCCGGGACCCTACGTACAATTCATACATACGGTACGCATGGGGATTCACAATATACCGTGTTCGGTTGGCCACTCGGATCAAAGATTCGCCAAAGCTCTACAGCTTCTTACCCAGTGGACGCAGTGGCTCGTGCGATCTGAAAGGTACACTGCAGGCGGCACATGGCACTTGTATCCAGAAGACGCACCGGCGCGTATACCTCTTTCTGCAGATGATCCGACTGACCACCTCTCCGACCGCCTCTGCAATGAAGTCATTGAGGTCTATCCCAATGCAGGTCCAGTTGTTACTGGTCCTGAAGGCCAGGAAGACTTGAACCCGTTGGAGAAGCGTTTATAAAATGGGTGGCCGGGTTGAATGTAGACTTGACACTGTCAAGGAATAACACGCGCTATCACCATTGCCTCATCATGGACAAAAATGCCCTCGAGTCTCTCGAGCTGCTCCCCGAGACTTTGCCACCGTGCGAGCATATCAGATTATACCATCCAGAGAGCAGCAAGCTGTTTCACAGCTATAGCCAGTCGTGGGTATTAGTGCTGGATAAAGACGTGCGAGGCCTTTTTTGAAAGGAGAAAAGATGAAATACCCTCTTTGGATACGACTGCGCCTTAGTTACATACTGAAGGTCTGGTTCCGACGGGCACTGGAGACTGTCCCAGTTGATTGGCAAAGGGTTATTGAGGAGGTCCGCAAGAAGCGGCGGACTGTCCGATGGTGAAATCCTTCTATTACGGGACGCTCGAGCTGCCAGTGGCCCGTATCCTTGCATGGTCCCAATCCCGGACGAGAATAGGACGGCCATAGCTCTTCTTTGCTCCTTACGACTAACTACATAATCATCAGAGTTTGCGACAGAAATGATCATGCCAAAAAGTAGCCACGATAAGACTGGAATGAAGGTAGAACAATAGAGTATTTTAGTATGTCTTTTTTGGGTAGCCAAGTAGTTACATACTTATGTATACGTTTCTTTTTAAAGGTCGCGCTCCTTCAGATTAGTTGGGGTTTCTAGGGTTGGTGATTAACCCTAACCCTAACCCAATAGTCGCCAGTACTACAAACCTAGTCTGCTTTGTGCTAGTGGAAGGTCATCGGTAATAGAATTCAAAGCCGATAAAGAAAAGAGGGCAGGAGAAAGATAGCATGAAGCATCGAGTCCATTTCCGAATACTCCAAGTAGAAAAAATATAGCCATTGGTTTGTCAGGAATTTGAGACCAATAGCAAAAGTAAAAATACAGGTATAACGGTGGATTTAAACCACCCATGATGGACGAACGGGGAATCGAACCCCGGACCACTCCCAAATCAGACCCTGTTAGGGGGAACCATGCTAAGGGAGTATTATACCACTAAACCATCCGCCCAATGGTTGTTGAAGAACGTGGACCGTAAAAGATTACAAAAACTTTTTGACTACGATTGTGCGGTGGATTACTCCGGTGTGGCAGCCCAGCCCCCCCGACTCTGCCGAATGTGGGGTGACACACGTGATCATCACTCCACTATCCCGAACTAGAGCCGTAATCGGCTGGTTGCTGGTGTCGACTTTGGTCCAAGGGTGCATCTAACCGCCGTTGCTGGGCGCTCTTGTTTCATTCGCACCAAAAGCTTGCAGGCCACCGCCGTGTTGATGCAGCACTGCGGTTGCTGATCACTGGCGCTGTAGCCTGGACAGATAAGAGACTGGAGGATTGCCGGATCGAGATCCAAGCATTCTCAGACTTTTGCGCACCATGTCCGAGGACGACGTCGACATGCTCGGCCCCGACGGGCAGGGATCATCCAAAGTTGACCGTGACCGCCGTGCGCCGAGGTTCAGTTGGACGCCCGCATACGAGACGACGTTTTTTCGCAGCCTTTGCGAAAGCGTTCAGTTGGGCTTGCGCGAGAATAGTAGCTTCAAGGCGGAAGCATGGGACCGCGCTGCTCAAGCGCTGCAGGACAGCCACGGCGCGTATCCTGCCAAGAGCCACCTGATCAACAAAAGCGACAATGCGCGGAAACGGTTTCGACTATGGCGAGGCCTTCGCGAAGATCCCGAGTTTGCGTATAACCCCGTCTCCAAGACGGTGACGGCTACTGAGGATGCCTGGAGAGCGCACATAGAGGTTGGTTTTTCCTGAACGTCGGATGCGCCGATATGCGCGACGACGCCAGAATTGCGGTCAAGTGCGGCACTGACTGGTAGTTAGAGAGAACCGCTGTCAAGGGCTCTGAGGGGTCGGCCGTTTGATCATGAAGAGTATATGGAGATACTGTACCCCGATGTCATCGGGTCTGGTGGTGCGCCAAAGAGGATTATGAAACCTCGTCGTAGGACTGATGGACAACCGGGCGACGAGTCAGATATGCCGGGGACAGGCGTTTTGAATCTTCAACCAGAGTCTGCATCTGGACAACAAAATACTCTTGGAAGCCCTGGTCCAGCTCGCTCATCTTTAAGCCAGACGCCAACTGGCTCAGCCACAGGATCAGGTACTCAGCTTAAGCCAAGCTCTGCCACGATCCCTCCACGAACTGCCCCAACGCAGCCTTCCGCCCTTACTCCTCCGGATGAGTCGGCGAACCAGGCAAAGAAACGGGCAATGCCCGCTCCTCAGACTGAAGGCGCGTTTGGTGCAACTCCGCCGCCTTCTGCCGCCAAGTCGAGCAATGCCGTGGCAGACGTCCCGTCGCCCGAGAAGAAACGACGAACCTCTGTACACGGTGACGCTGTGCCTGTTGTCACGTCGACTTCGAGCAACTCCCTCCACCATACATCGTTGTCCGACTCGCCTACTGCTGTGCAGCTCCCACCGCCAGTGACCCTGGCAACTCCTCAGACAACGGCTGCAGACTCCCAGCCAAACGGATCGTCAACATGTTTAAGCAGCTCGCGATGGTGCGAATTAGCTCTGGAGCAGTTCTTCAAAGATTTTGCAGACGAGGACATGGACCTTCAAATACGAGTAGCGGAAACGGTTCTGGTTAATGAAAGCAGAGCACTGGTGTATTGCAAAATGCCCTGGTGCGTGAAGCAACACTGGATAAAGAAACTTGATGAGACATTCCGAAAAATGCGTTGATAGTCCCGATTCACGAGAGGGCTTTGGCGACAAAGCCCGTTTTCTGGATGCCGAATGAATCAATGAGACACGGGTGATTTTGGTGGGATTGATACCCCTGGCAGGAGTGGCAGATGAGAGCTTGTTTCGATACGTGATACCCGTTGATGAGGCGTTGGGGTTGGAATTTAGGGCTGAATTAAAGCGAGGGGTTCCTGGGGTGCATTTGTTTTTCAAGTCAGGGAGAGCTTGGTTTGCATTTTACTCGGCTTTTGCGAGGACAAGGGGTAAGGCAGCTCGGTTTTGGCGAACGATGATTCGGTTATTGCAGTCGGTTTTCTCTTGGCAAGAGAGCTACTGGTATACCAGATTTACATGCTGGTTTCCAAGTCGGTAACATGGTCGGCATCCACTTGGCTGCGTAGAGATGTTATGTCAGACATGGTGCAACTGACCTTTTGCCATCTTCAACGGCAGTTTAGGGTAATTTGAGAGTAATTTAGGGACGTGGTGAGCAATGTTGCACTTACTCGTACATGCCGTTGCTTTTTCCTTGTAGATATCCTTGAATTAAATTTGCTCCTAATACTATCTCACGCACCTAGTCGGCGAAATTTCTCTCCAGAGGGTTACGGATCGAGCGGCTAACAGCCGGGTCTGGGCGGCCTGATCTAATGTCGATTCTCACGATGGAAACGGCCTGCAAAGTGGAGCATACCGCACGCCTCTCAAATGAAAAGCAACGGCAGAAGGAGATGCAGAGGTTATCCGCAGGAATTTTGCGTGGGCTGCTGATGAGATTTGAATAAGAAAATATGCAGTCTCATCCATATCACGTCTTTGTTAAATGACAAGTGAAAGTGGAAGCGTGGAATGTCATCTACTAGAGTAGGCCGGACCGTTTCCTCGACCCCCCTCCGACCTGCCAGCAACCGTTGACGCTGCAAGTGGGTCAGCCAGGCCGGTGGTGCCATGGCCTGGCGCTGGAAAGTACGTCATGCATCGGCCGAGAAACGTCAACAACAGGGCGGCGCAGGTTTCAAAGCTCCTGGCCTGGCCTGACCTGGCCGGCTTGCCATCACATGAAGCCATTGATCTGCCCACCACACTCTTCTCATCTCCCGTCTCCCTTCTGGCCATTCTCTGACAACCACAATCTCGATCAATCATTCTACAAATTCCATCTTACGTCCCTCCTATACATACACAAACAGTGAGTCTGCTACTCCATGCACATGCACGCAATCCCAGGGTGATTCAAGCTAAACCGGTCATCAGTGTCTTACGCCGACGTAGCTGCCAGTGGCCCCAAGCAGTCCCCCGAGGAGGTAAGTAACACAATCACAGCCCACCTGCCCCGTGGTTTTACTACAAACCGCACGCCAAATTATCTCAACGACTTTCCTAACGCCTCACGATAACCACAGGCTGCTGCCCCCCCACCCCCCGAGGTCGTCACCACCGAGTCCGCCTCCACTGCCTCCCTCATCGACGTCGACGTCCCTAGCGTGCGCACCGTGCCCTCCGACTTCCTCGAGCAGGATGTCCAGACGGAAACACAAGCCGGGCGGCTGGAGCGCGACGATGAAGCGGCCAAGGCCAAGAAGGCCGAGCGGGCCAAGAAGCACGCGGGCAAAAAGGCACGCGACGCCGACTCGTGGCTCGTCAAGCAGTTTTCGAGCTTGTCTGACGGCAGCGCCGGAGCCCTGGTCATCACGAACGTCGCTGCTATTATTGGCGTGAGCTCCTACCTGGGTTATCGTGCCTGGGGCCTGTACGAGAAGGGCAACCTGACGTGGAAGAATGCCGGTGTCGGGGTTGGAATCCTGGCTGGTGTGGGTGCTGTCGAGGCTGTTTTTGGGCGGTACTTGTACAAGGGCAAGAAAAACAGCTCGTCTTGATTTTTGGTGGTGGTGGTTTGGTCATGATACCAGGTTACACTTTTTCAAATGTGGTTTCTTGGCGTTGGTTCTTGACGGTAAATGAGTCCTAGTAGTTTCTGCTCTAGTTTCCACCCCAATCAGTAATGCTATGGAAAATCAGCACTGTGGCACGTTATAATTCCTGGCCAACGCATGTACGCCTTGTTCTTGGCCTACCAGTTTCGTGATGAGAATCAACGCGTCGGGCATGAGTGGCCCTGCGGTTACCGTGTTGCGGACAACCATAAATTTTCGTATAGAGTGTAGGTAGATGTATGAACCGTCTATATTTCCATGGCCCCTTGTATGTATCTCCTTCATCTCGTACATTTTATAATACAGACACGTAGTCATGTCAAGTGGTACATATTATGCCCCTCCACAGTCGTAAACACCTATTTGCTCTATGTTTTCTCTTTCCAGGTACTCTGGGAGCAGCGTTAATCTTTCTTTTCTTCATTCTTCTTCTCCTTCTTCTCCTCTTCAGCCAACACGCCGGGCTGCTCAAGTTTGGCATCCTTGTCTGCGTCGGTGGCGTCTTCCCATTTCTTGGGGACACCGTTATTCTCTAATGGTTTGACGCCAGGTAGATTGTCTGTCTCGGGTCTGTTGTCCTCAATGGCAATTGCAGGACTCTCTTGTGGCTCGTCGCGCGGGGATTGATGTAGGTCATCGGCAGCCTCTTCGCCATCGTCGGACAGCTCGGCACCGTAGATATCAGGGTACTTCTTGAAGCATTCCTGCATTCCCCTATTGGTAATAAGTCAGCACCCACGCACTACTTGAATCAACAACACCTTTGAAGACCACGTACTGGAATTTCTCGATACAGTCCATGCCCTTGGGCTCTTCGGTTGAGTAGACGAAGCAGCTGAAAGCCGTCTTGAATTCCTCACCACAGGGGCCGTGTGCCATTCCTCCGAGGCATGGGCAGTCCCAGTTGATTTCACCTGTTTCAGGGTTGAATGCGCCTTCTTGGCCAGCCTCTTCCTCGAGAGCTTCGGGCGATCCGGTGGCAACAACGCTGTTTTGTGATTCGGTCTTGGGCTGCGTCTCCGGAGTTGAATCCTCCTTTTCAATTGGCTTTGCCTGCTCCTCAGGTGTGGGCTTGAGTTGCTTGCGCTTCTGTTCAATGACGGAATCGACAGTTGGTATGTCTGACTCGGTAAAGGCAGAGGGGGCAGCTATTGATTGGACTAGAGACAAAGAATTAGACGCGAGATTAGTGCGCGGTATTGGCTGCTTGGACATACCGGTAGCTTCATCGGCAAAGACGGCACTGGTGTTGTAATAATACACAGCGCCGAGCGCAAGACCCCATCTCACGGCAGAGCCCTTCCACGTCCGCGGCTTGTACGCAGGGGTCGATGTTGATGCAAATCGACGGGAAGCACTCTGAAATGACTGGGAGCGAAGGCTCCTCAAGGCCTGTCGCGAGGCAGTCCGCACCGTAGCCCGATACATGTTGTTGAATGTTGCGACAAAGTTGAAAAGCGTCCAAGGAAGATGACGACAAGACGGGAATCGAGCATCGAAAAAACATCGTCAGCGCTGGCTCGATTGGTCAGCCCTCTGTTTCCCGTCTATCCGTGGAGCCCAGGCGCCAAGACAGGACAGCGAGCACTGAGTGGCCCAAAGCCAAGTCACCCCTGCGCAGAACGACCACAGTGGGAGTTGACCGGTGTTTAGCCGAGAGACCGTTGGAAGCTTGCGTTCTGGTCTGGTGCCCAAAAGTCACTCACTCAGCACTGGTACATGGATCTCAGAACGTGCAGCTGCCACGTGCGTGACGCTGCAAGATTTCCTAGGGTGCCCTTGTACGTCAAGCGGTGATTGTCACCTTTTGTTGTCCAACCGACCATTTGAGTGGTTTTGGGAGTTTCAAGGTGACATTCACATCTCGCCGCTGGAGGAATGTCTGCACCCAAAACGGCAATTCAGTTCACGCAGCTCCACCTCCATGACTTTATCTGGGAAGACATACATCAACCACGCATCACGCACCTCACTTTGACCAGCTGCCGGCCACAATCGCCACGGCCTGCAGAATCATTGAATTTCGATTCATCTTGAAGAATCAACGGGCCGTTTGTTCGCATATTCAAGGCTCGCATATTCAAGGCAGCCTACTGTGGTACTGAGCTTGATATTGAAGCTCGAAATGTCCACTGCCAAGTTTGAGTGGCACCCTGCCAAGCTCCTCGAAGATAACGCCGGTCTCCAGGATTTTGCGCTGCTGGTCCTCAACCAGCCTCTGAAGAATGGAGCTATTTTACGCAGACTCTGGAAGAACTGTATGTGCTAGCGATATTTGACTTGTCATTTGCGATTCGCGTTGACGGGGAGTTTCGTCCATCTCACTAATCGGAAAACCAAAGCATGTCTTAGAGTCGCTGCCGATGGCGGCGCCAACCGGCTTCATCAACTTTCCTCCTTTCAAGGGAAATTTGTATGTAATTTTATAGCTCTACGGCGGATAAGAGCCTATCATGATTTCTAACTACCCCCCCAGTCAAATCTGCAAGCCATTATTGGGGACCTCGACTCCCTCTGCTCCTCAGTGAGAGACTTCTACTCCTCACAACCGACCCCAGCACAGGTCATCCATGACACCGACCAGGAGTCGTCTGATTTTGGAAAGGCCATCACATGGATTCGGAAAACCCAGCCAAGTGCTCTTGACATCGTCGCACTTGGTGGTATCGGCGGCCGTGTTGACCAGGGCCTCAGCCAGCTTCACCATCTGTATCTGTATCAGACAGACCCTGCGTATGCTAATGGGCGGATATATCTCTTATCTGGGTCGAGTTTGACATTTTTACTGAAATCTGGGACGCACATGATTCATGTCAAGGAGGATGGCGAGGATGAGGTGTTTGGGAAGCATGTTGGAATTATCCCCTTGCAGGAGCCAAGTCGGATTACCACCAAGGGATTGGAGTGGGACGTAACTGACTGGGAGTCAAAAATAGGCGGAAAACTCAGCACCAGCAATCATGTACTGCCTCACACTAAGTGTGTCGAAGTTCATACCACGAAAGACGTACTGTTCACCGTTGCACTGCGCCCAGTCGAGGGAGAAGAGGAGGCGTGAGAGGCTGGAGGGTTCAAAAGTAGGGGCAAAAACAAACAAAAAAAAGATGAAAAAAAGACAAATGTTGAAAAAAATATAAACAGCCCAAAAAAATCAAGTCTTAAAGCAAGACTTTTAATTGTTCGCCAACCCAATGACACCAAGACGCCATGCTCATGTTCCTTGTTGGATACCACGTGCGACTACTCAGCTGCGCATTGCATCACCGCAGGTAGTGCAACACTAGCCAGCAGAATGCGAAGAAAACGACAACTCCGCCCAAAAATAGCCATTTATCTTCCCGCGCTCGTTTTTCTACCATGCGAATTGTGTCTCCGCTGATGCCCAGCGTGTTCCCAACACTGTATAGTCTTTTCTGCGTATTCTTGAGCCTCTCCCTCTGCTCACCGAGATTGCCGAGTACAGCCTGACCTCTGGCAATGTAATCATCTAGGGCAGAGTGTGTCTGCTGGAAGAAGGCTTGCTCCCGGAAGGCATGTGCCTCCCGCGCCTCGTCTCCAGATCCCGTCGTTAAGGGCCCGCCTACGGCCGACGTATGGCGAGGGTGAAAGGAGGTGCTTGTGTTTGTTGGTGTGCTTGCGTATGGGTTCTCGGGGGTGGCATTATAAGGCCTTCTTCCTAGTAGCTCTCTTCCGTTGCTCTGGTATTGGGCCTCGTCTCTGGATTTCTTCAGCCCGTCGATTTGGGACCGGAAATCGGAAAGATCCTCTCGAAATCGCTTGACGCGTTCGAAAGCTTCTTCTTGTTTGTTGGGAACGATTTCTTGGCGTGCAAGGCGGTGATATTCGTCGACGGTCTTGGTGAATGATGACACTGACGCTGATACATTGCCAATCTCACCTGGAGTCGGAGACCCTTTAGCATTCAGCGTGTCGAGCTCGCTGCGGATCGATTTACTCTGCCTCAAGGCAGAGTTGTACTGCACGTTCTGTAAAAAAATTCCGAGTCAGAGGCATCATAATCCGATCCGGGGCAAATGTTACATACCATGGTTCAATAATTGCTAAATTGTTGTGCAATGGCCAGCTTGCCCTTCGCAGCTTACCCTGCCTTTTCACGTGGAAACCGTGTTCCTTCTGCGTACTCCGTACCGTGCCCAGAGTTCCAGATCGGAACATCTACGGTCCGTCTGGGGTAGCCACTAGGACATACGGGAGTACCTGGTGGGGAGATTCCTCCCTAAAATACTTTGGCACTTAATTTCATCTTTACAATATTCAGAGCTCTGAGTCTGTAAGAGGATGTCATTGCACGCTACATTATGCATCGACATGGTGAAGCCGTGAAGTTCTCCAAGAATGGGACGGGGACCCTAGTCAATCGGCAGCCACAACGGCGGATGCCGAAGCAAAATCAATGCTGACCTTATGTTAGGCAAAACCCGTCCCTCATAGAAGGTTTGTCATGAACGCCAATCTTGGACATACTATATCGTAGACGGATATTAATTATAGTGAGGTAGTGTATGCCGGTTAAGAGGGACTTTTAGGCAAAGCAAATAAATTTGCCGAGATCGGCACCGATTCGGCGCGAAGGCCCCAGTGCGCCGTTCCGTCAATGGCGTTGGCCGGGTTTGTCACACGGAAAACTACCGAGATTGATGTTATTTCCGTAAATCGAGGCAAAATCTTGGCGGCCCTTCTTAAATGAATTCGTCTCATTCAGTAACTGGGGTGACGGTAAAACATGTTTTTTCACCTCATGCCAGTTACAACATGACCGACTCGGATACAAAAAGACAAGCGACGCTCCGGCAGCAAGCAGCACAGCCTTCCTCGAATGGTAACACGAGTAGCGACATCGAAAAACAACTTACTGTCGCCCGAAAAAATGACGGGCCACCCTACTCAGTTTTCACCCCATGGCAAAAACGAGCCATTGTCCTTGGGGCCGCTGTTACCGCATTCTTCTCCCCCCTTACTGCACAGATATACCTGCCGGCCTTGACGCAACTGTCGAGAGATCTGGGTGTGACAAACACGCAGATCAATCTAACCATTACAACGTATATGGTATTTCAAGGCATAACACCCATGTTTATTGGATCGCTGGCTGATAGCGGAGGTCGACGACCAGCCTACATCGTATGCTTCATTATTTACGTTGCTGCCAACATTGGCCTGGCTCTTGCCCCTGGGTATAGTGCATTGCTGGGGTTGAGATGTCTCCAGTCAGCTGGGTCGAGTAGCACGGTGGCACTTTGTACGGCAGTGGTCGCTGATGTAGTCACAAGTGCCGAGAGAGGCCAGTATGTCGGATTCACGGTGATTCCGACTGTCCTGGCTCCCTCACTAGGACCGATTATTGGCGGCCTTCTTTCTCAGTATCTTGGCTGGAGAGCAATATTCTGGTTCCTGGCGATTTTCTCTGGCGTAACTCTGGTTCTCATTGTTTTCTTTTTTCCAGAGACTTGCCGCCGGATCGTTCGCGATGGCTCTCTAACTCCACCTCCGATGTACCGGTCCGTATGGCAGTCCATACACCTTCGGCGTGAAAAGAAGGCGAGACGACAAAACAAATTGTCAAAGGCGACATCAAATTCAAGCAGCGCCAGCAAGGCGGGGAACAGGTTCAAGTTCAAGCCACCAAATGTTCTGGGCTCGCTGTTTCTTCTATTCGAGAGGGAGACCGGGTTGCTGCTTTGGACCAGCAGTATTGTATTCGCTGGCTTCTATTGCATAGCAACAGCAATGCCCAGTCTCTTTTCGAAGCGTTATGGATACAATGAGGTGCAGGTTGGTCTGATGTATCTTCCGCTGGCGCTTGGTTCCATTGGTGCTGCCAGCATCGTCGGCCCGTCCATCAACTGGAACTTCAAACGACATTGCATCCAATCCGGCATACCCTACGATCAAAGTCGACAAAATGACCTTTCCAGCTTCCCGATTGAGCGAGCACGTCTGGAAATTGGTCTCCCACTGTTGTGCCTTGGCGCGGTGAGCTTAATAGGCTGGGGATGGGCGATGCATGCCGTCACTCATGTTGCTGTACCGTGTGCGATCAGCTTCTTTCTGGGAATTGGGATGATTGGCTATAATAATACGACCAACATACTTCTTGTCGATGTCCATCCAGGTCGGGCCGGAACTGCAACTGCTGCCAACAACCTCACCCGATGCTTGGTTGGAGCGGGAGCAAGCGCTGCGATTATTCCCATGATTGATGCCATGGGGGCTGGGCCAGCTTTTACTCTTATGGGGGGGCTCTATTTTGTCTGCGTCATCCCGCTCCTGCTCATTCTTCAATTTGGCATGAAATGGAGAGCGGAGGCCAAGGAGAAGACCCAGATGAGCAAGCTGAAGACACAAGAAAGGCATCATCAACAAGGGCTCTTGGTAGTGGATGAACCGCGACCAGCGGAGGATAGGAGAAACCGGGATTTGAGAAACGCATAGTCGGCGTTGGGATTAGACATTTGCATTTTGAAAAGATTGCATAGCGTAGCTCCGTAACCGAGGCGTCATCACATACACGCCCTTTGGCATCTGCGACTTCAAACGTTGCATCGTTGGGGAGAAGGGAGTGTGAATTCTGCCAGTATTCATTAAAAATGTTCATTAGCTCAAGAAACAAACAAACATTAAAGACAAACAACTGCTGCGCGGAAGATCTGATCTGATCACCGGCCAAGACCCACTCGTTGCAGCTGCCTCAAGTTCTGGTGCTCAAGGCTGGGTTTTGTCCCACTCATTTTTCACCATCTCAACTCGGGGTGCCGGAAGAATCGTCGCGACAATAGCCGTCAACTGAGTGAGCACAACAGCAGTGCATGTCTGCATATCGTCGACCTTCTATTGGAGCTATCCTATTCACAAGACGCTCACACCCTGTCTTTTGTCCCCACCACTTCGAACCAAGACAGCTTCGCTATGATCTTTTTCCTCTTCCCACCTCCTCTTATATCGTCAAGTTGTGGTGATTGATCAAGCCATTTCATCACCTCAATCATCATGGAACTTGATTACTTACTAGCCGTGTCCGTCGCCTTTGCCGGGCTGATATGGCGTGCTGTGTCACTTGCTTTCTTGGGCATCGTTGCGGTTACACTTCAGGTTGTCGTCTATCGCCTCACTTTTCACCCGCTGGCCAAGGTGCCGGGTCCTAAATGGGCAGCCATCTCCAACTTTTGGTATGCTCGACAGATGGCTAAAGGGAGAATGGCTCAGTTAGGGTTGGAAATGCACGAAAAGTACGGCGATGTTGTTCGTGTTGGCCCCAATGAACTGTGGTTTAACACGACGGAAGCGTTTGATCAGATATACTGTACGTCTAGCTCTGTATTAAAGATTGCCTCTACTTGCGAAGGAAGCTCACATTGTATTGACAGGCACCGGGAAAGGATTCGAAAAATCCGACTTTTACTGTAGGTCTACGTGCTGTTTTGGTCCCGTTGTCTGATATTAACACTGAGACACAGTGGCAACAGCACTGACCAGGCCAACTATTGATTGGAAGTTTAATGCAAATTTTGAAGATACATTAGATCTCTTGTCCGAGCGAAATATTAAACGCTACCGTCTACAGAGACGATTAATCGGCCGTGTCTATAGTGCCGCGAATGTGGCGAAATACGAAGATGCTCTCACCGCAGCGCTAGAGAGGATAGTGCAGCGACTACATGAGCTTGACGGGAAGGAGATTGATCTAAAAGAATGGATGCATATTATTACAGTCGAGTGTCTCGCGGCGGCTGTTTTATCATGGTCGCCTGGTCTACTTCGCGATGGTACAGATTGGGGGACGTTATCGCATAGTTTCCAAGGCTGGCGAAGGAAGTGCTTATTCGGAGTGTTTCCAACGATGAAGAAGATGGAGCAGTTGTCTCCTAGTCTTGGAAGGGCATTTGCGTCCCTATGGGGAGTAACGTACCGGCCTCCACCAACCTTCAAGCCCTTCTTCCCTGTAAGTACCCTCTTGGACTGTTTTGGACGCAAGAATGCCCTCACAGGTGGAAAAGCTAACGGAAGGATATCAGGGCGTAGTCAAGAACATAGTTCGTCGCCTGACAGCGTCTCTCAAACCAGGAACACCCAAGGATAATCGAGTTGATTTGCTAAACGACCTGATTCAACTTAGAAATGACAGACCCGAGTTCAACGAGGTCTATCTTCGAAAAATGGCCGTCACCAACTTTGGAGCCGGTCACGAAACCGTTGCGTCGACCTTGGCGGCTTCTGTGGCCATGATCGCCTCCCACAATAATGTTCAAAAGCAAGTATTTCTTGAACAGCGCACAGCTGAAGCAGATGGCCCACTCGTATATGCTTCAAGCAACCGATTTACTTATACTAAAGCTGCCATTCGTGAAGCCATGCGACTTTACCCCGTGGTGCCCATGTCGCTTCCCCGCAAGACACCATCCACGGGACTACACGTCCATGGATTGTGTGTGCCACCCAATACCACGGTAGGTTGTAGTGCCGTTGCTCTACATCGCAAGGAGGATATCTTTGGCGCCAGCCCTAATTTATATGATCCTGAACGCTGGCTCCGCGCCGAGACTGGAGACGACACGGTTGCGGCAACATCGGCGTCAGTCCGCATCATGGAAAAGTATAGTCTGAGCTGGGGGGGTGGTTCTCGAAGCTGTCCTGGAAGAAATTTGGCCGAGCTGCTCGTGCTCAAGGTGATTGCCACCCTCTTTAGAAGGTTTGAAGTGGAGGTGGCGATTCCACCGGACGCCGACAAGGAGGCGTATTTTCTGTTTGTCCTCTCAGGCGTCAAAGTCAAGTTTCTCCCTAGAGCCAGGTGAAGCCGCCAAGGCGGGATGCGTAGCCGAAGCGCAAGAAAATACAGAGCAGCAACCACATGACGGAGCTAGGGGATGCCAAAGGTGCTGGGTATTCTTGTGGAGTCACCTTTCCAACCGCGTTTGACACTTGGCATTAGTATTACTTCATTGACGGTATTCAACGCTTTGAGCAAGTTGGAGGCGGACAGGGGGCATGTGGATATTACATGATCCATCATGATAAGGATGAGCGCTTCAGCATCCATCGTGGTTGATAATATCTTGGCGATCAGCTATTTGTACGCAAAGAAGGCGATATACCCGGTGTCAACAATAACTAGAACCCTCGTCTATGGCCGAGCCGGTGTGTCTCTGATTTCACCGCTAAATTAAGCATAATCCTCCCCCATATTACCATGTAACGCGAGTGCCACATTGTGATGTACAGCCGGTTAATATCAGGCAATGTACCATGCAGATGCGCTCGAACATGCTGGGACATTAAACAATGACTACCTGATCGGCCTTAAATTATTGGAAATGGGAGGGACCGGTGATTCCGCTCAACCGATAAGGGCAGCGAAGGACGTTGCTCACTGCGGAGCTGTAATCGCACCACTCGTGATAACGCTACCGATTAATGAAATGCACGGAGTACTAGGCTTGTGATTTGAGTCATTGAATAAGGATTTTCCCAATTTATGCAACTTGCTGTGGTAATCTCATCAACCACATCTCTTGCAAGGGGCCAGAGTGAGCAAAGTCGATAATGTCTTGGCCAGTCACAGCCGACCGAAAATTAAATACCTTCCCGACGTGGACAAGCAGCCCCCTCTTGATGTGTGCCTCGTCAGCAAATATCAGCCAGAATGGATTCCCCGCGAATTTGGATACAGTTTTGGTGCCATGTGCTGTGCCCGAGTGGTCAAAACCAAGATTCGAGGTCGAATGATGGCTCTTTAGGGTGCCAAAACGCCATAGTGCAAGCCCTGGTTCGAATTTTTTGAGGAAGACGGAAACTTCCAACAATTGTTCCATGCATTGCGTGTTGGCGTTCCGGAGTGGGCCTCGGGGCTAAAGAGGCTTTGGTAGATCATTTAGAGACCCGGCGGCCCACTGGGATAACCCCGTCGTAGCGGATGAAGCCAACCTTGACCGAGTGGCAGCCACAAGATCGTTTTGTTGAAACGTATGATTTCAGCCCGACGACGGTACGAGGCGCGTCGTGCAGTGGTGCTAGAGCCACTCTGAGGCTCTGTCTTGGTTTGATCCTCCTTCAGCTTCTCGCATTGACGAGCAAACGCAGCCACATGGGCAAGTTGATGCCTCGGCTGGTACTGCCAACCGAACCCATGTGTGGGAGACGCTCAATTCGTCAAGGAGCTGGACTATGATTGACCAGAGCAGGGGTGTGGGCCAATAGGAAGTCAATTATTAAAAGGCACATAGCCAAACTAAGAAATTATATGGTATTATAAGTACCAGTAATCTCTGGATTTACACAAAGCTACATCGCACTTATCGCAGCCGAATTGGGCGCTCTTTGGCCCTATTCCCGAGACCTCTACTCCGTACTCCGTACAAGCGGTGTTTTTCGGCTTTGTGACCTAATTTGGCCAGCTGTTGAGATACTCGCGATGTCACTTTTTGGCTCCATTATAAAGGCCGGAATTATTAGTATAGTGTGAAAGGTTTAGTAGCTGACCTTGTTACAAGAAAGGTACCGGCTAAGTATCGCAGAAAAGGGGGGCCGTTACAAAAGCTGCACCTTCGCACATTCAAAGGGATGGACTTCACCTGTCGTTCTGTTTGTTGGGCGCCTGTCTTCTCCTGACTCGGCCTCGGTCGTGCCTGCCATCAACTGGTCTGTGTAATGCGGCTGACCTAGCGACATTTGCGGCAGGAGCAGACGACCCGTGGGCTGCCAAGAGCCACTACGTACTTTGCGAGGCCGAAGCTGGTTTGGCTGGCAACATAGAAGCTGTCAGCCCCTCTGCACTGTTGAGCAGCCAAAAGTACAAACATTCAAACATTCTCTGTGTGAACCAGTCATCATCGACTTCCACCCTCCAATCTGGCCAGCTTGTTTATTGTATACTACAGCAGGGCCAAGAAACTGACAGCATCTGCAAGAGTCTCTCGCTTCCTTCCTTATCCCATGTTGCCTGCGCTCCCTAATGCTTGGCCCCGACCAAGGTCGTCTTCGTGGATGTGCCACGGCGCATATTCTAGGCCGCCATGCTCGATTCCCAGGAAAGTTTTAGGCTCCGACTCTATTGCTGCTAACGATAGCAAAAGGCAAACTATCCACATTGAAGCTTCTTCGTCGCAGTTTTATATCCGTTGAAAGAGGGTTGGTATCAGAAAGAATCATTAAAGGACGAGGGTCAAAGACAAGCATCGACTCTAGAGCAATTCGAATCCGCAGAAGCTCTGAAGCTTGATCTGCCCGATAAAGTTCATGTGGTCCTCCTGTAGCCACACCTCCGCATTAAGTTTCCCTTTCGGTTTAGTGATCCCCCGCGAATCAAGCCATCAATTTGGGAGTTGAAGGGCCTCCAGTTCCCCATATTAAAATAGAAACCCCAGAGCTACCCCAGACACAACCGCAGACTTTGACGTAAAAGTTTGGTCAACATTGCGTCTCTACATCGCGAAGGACGAGGCCGACGGGCCATATGGTTTGGGGAATCCCTGCCCTCTGTATGCCATTAACTCAAGAGCCAAACTTGAACTACTACTAGTGTCACGTACTAGTAGTGCCAAAATGAGCTTCAAGCTTTCTGATACTCTCAAAATCATCCTTCGTGTTTGGATATTCACTATCTACCTGGTAGCCTATCGCTACAGGTGGACTGGTCCTCGAATGAATGGCTCATCATGCCTCTGCTGAGCCAGCCCGTCAGAGCGCGCGAGGCGACTTGCGGGGAAGCAGCCGGAGCACTACACCGTAAACGGTGGTTTCATGCCGACAGGTTACATCTAAGGCGACACCGACAGGTCAAATGCGCTTGTCTTGGACGAATCAGTTATGGGAAGAAACCAAAATGGTCCCAACCAGAACCGGCAATCATGCTTCTGTCGTATCGGTATAAGCCTCATTTTGTGAGGTAATGACCGCTCAATGGTTTGCTTCCAATTTGCCTCTGCCATTGTGAGATCCTGGAGCAAGTCTCGGTCAACACTCACCGCTATTGCGAGAAGGCTTCAAATGATGCGCATATTCCTATTGTAAGTGCTGAAGTTCGGCGAGTCTGCAAAACGTACATACAGGGGCTAGCCCGTGCCACCAGATAACTACCCAACGCCACCTCCACGACACGGACAAAGAGCTGTGTGGTTCGTGAACTCGGTTCCCCACAAGGCCGGCAAGCCTCCACATGATGGTGGTGGTGGGAGCAGAGACGAGAAGGCTTAAAAAAAAAGAAAAGAATCTCTTGCCGGTAGCTGCTGGGGAGGCAAAATAAGGCGCCGATGAGAGCCGCACATGACGACGTCGGGGCAGAGAATTTTTGCCTTTGGAACAATCGCGACGCCTCGCCGAGGTTTTTTTGCCGATGGGAGATTTTTACGCGAGATCCATTATTCGAGGCATGGCGTGCTTGACTCTGCCTAGTCACAGGTGAATAATATGGAGTAAATTTCATGGACTCCATCGTTATCATCTGGGGGGAATTGGGGGCAAATGCAAGTCCCGCATATGCAAATCCGGCGACTAAATGACACGAGCAACACATCTGCTGATACGTTGGCTTACCATTCGGACCCTTCTTTTTTTAAGCTTGGTTCCTTCGTCTGGTTCTGGCAGGGGGCATTGGCTAACCACCAGCTCACCGCGGTTGTTTTGGCGCCTTTGTTGCGCAGCGTGAGACTGCACAGCCTGGGGCGCCCACGGAGTTCAATTTCAGTTGAAGCACTGCCATGAAAATTTCGCCGTTGCGACGCCGAGACGGTTCTGGAATCGCCGGCATGTGGCGTTCCGCGAGGGTGAACGTTCGGCAGCCGCAGCCATCAAAGGGCCAGGTTCAGAACGCGGCCGCCTTGGCTTGGTGAGATGACAGCCCCCAGATTGCTGTGCCTTGGCTGCATGCTATCAGTATGTTTGGCCCTGCCTGGGTGTGGTGCGGCCGAGGAGCATCTGCGCATCAGCTCACAGGTCCCAACGCCTCGAAGCTGGTCACGGCACGCACAGTCGATATACAAGCCGCAGAAAGCCATTTCGTCGGGAGACTGTTGCTGATGAGTCTGTCAGTACGAACCACTAGCATCTCGGATAACTTGTCAGCCACCCTTCGACTAAGGCGACTGGTGGACGTCAATGGTTTCGTCCTTGCGCCTCTTTTCTTCGGGTCTTGGCACTGATCAGGAGTTAAATGGCTTTGGAGATAAGGTTATTGGCTGCAATGTCATTGTGGACCGGCAGGTCTGGGCCTGCCCCCAACCGATTTTCTAAGGGTACTGGCCTGTTAGCCTTCAACCGGGATCTTTTGAACGCCATGGCCGGCTAGGCTGGATCGGGAATCGCTCTCCGGGGTCGTCGAGTCTTGGCTGTGGCAACCGTCGAGCTCTCACCATGGAGAGGCTGATAACGAAACGTGACAAGTCCAATGCAGTCCCCCAGATGTCTGTCACACGTATGAACCAAGGGAACAGGCTCTGGCCTCTGCAGGATTATACTTAATCGCCGCTGTACCCCGCGAGTACACCACGTCTTCGATTTCTTGGACGTCCCCATCCTACTCGTCTTTGGTAACCTGTCCTTAGACCTGCCCGTCAGTCTTTGTGTAATCTTGCTCTCGAACAAGAGACGCTGTATTCACAATGACGACCAGCGTCAATCTCGACAACGATGCCATTGGCCAGTCGGGCTTGGTTGATCCCGAGAACAAAGGGCACCCATATCACCCCTCCAAGGGAGCCATGGATGCTCACGCGCGCAAGGCGTCATTGCAGCATCACGATGTGATGCTTGACGATGATGAGTATGAGGGTAAACCCACAGACGAGGAGATGCAGACTCTCCGCCGTGTCTCCGGCAAGATTATGTGGAGCATGTGGACGATTGCCTTTGTCGAGCTTTGCGAACGTTTCTCGTACTATGGCTCGGCTGTTTTGTACACCAATTTTGTCAACAAGCCTTTGCCAGCAGGCTCGACCACAGGCGCTCCTCTCGATCACAACGGCCAACCTGGTGCCTTGGGTATGGGCACCAAGGCTGCCCAGGGTATTAGTCTCTTCAACCAGTTCTTTGCCTATCTCATGCCTCTTCTCGGGTAAGAAGACACTTCCACCACCCCATTTCATCCAAGACGCCCCGGGAACAGTGTCGCTAATCTTGATTCTTCTTGCAGTGCTTGGATTGCTGATGCCCGTATGGGTCGTTTCTGGACCTTGCACCTTGCCATTGGTGTTTCCACGATTGCCCACGCCATCTTGGTTGCTGCATCTGCTCCGGGTGTCATTGTCAATAACAAATCCTCCTTTGCTGCTTTCATTATTGGCTTGATTTGTCTCTGCGTTGGTACGGGATTTTTCAAGGCCAACGTTTCCCCGCTGCTTGCTGAGCAGAATGATGATGTCCGACCCCGAATCGAGGTTCGCAAGGGCGAGCGCGTCGTTGTTGATCCTGCTGTCACCAATACCAGAATTTTCCTGTATTTCTACCTGTGTATCAATATTGGCTCGCTCGCCGGTCAGATTGGTATGGTCTACGTGGAGAAATACGTCGGCTTCTGGCTTGCTTTCCTCATCCCCACTGGCTTGTTCTTGCTGGCGCCTCTCGTTCTCTGGTCACAGAAGAAGAGCTATAAGCTTAAGCCGCCCACTGGATCACTGCTCTCCAAGTTCATCAAGATGGCAAACTTTGCTCGCAAGCGCTCTGGCTTGAGAAACTTCAGCTGGGAGGTTGCCAAGCCCTCCCGCGTCCCCATTGAAGAGCGACCTAGTTGGATGACCTATGATGATGCCTGGGTCGATGAAGTTCGCCGCGGTCTCATGGCCTGCAAGGTCTTCCTCTTCCTGCCCATCTTCTTTTTGTCTTACAACCAGATGACGGCGAACCTGACCACCCAGGCCAGTACCATGGAGCGACACGGTGTACCAAACGACATCATCCAAAACCTCAACCCCATTTCCATCGTCATCATGATCCCCCTCATTGATCACCTTTTGTATCCTGGTCTCCGCAAACTCGGCCTTGCCTTCACTCCTATCAAGCGTATGACGACTGGTTTCCTAATTGCCTCTCTGTCCATGGTAGCCTCTGCTGTTATGCAGTACTACATCTACGAGATGAGCCCCTGCGGCTGGCACGCAAACACAGAGGATTGCCCTCCCGCGCCCATCAACGTTTGGGCCCAGAGCCTGCCTTACATATTGATTGGTATTGCCGAAATTTTTGCCAACGTCACGTCATACGAATATGCCTTCTCGAAGGCACCCGAGAACATGAAGTCACTCGTCATGACGTCAACTTGTTCATGAGCGCCGTGTCTGCCGCCATTGGTCAGGCTTTCGTTCCATTGTCTGGAGACCCTCTGCTAGTCTGGAACTACACGGTTATTGCAGTCATTGCCGTCGTTGGTGGCATTGTCTTCTGGCTTTGCTTCCGCCATCTTGACTCTGAGGAAGACAAGTGGAATATGCTCAAGAAGTCCGAGTTTATTGGCAAGCAACAGCCTGGTATTGGCAAGGCGCATGAAGCTGGGGAAGCTGCTTAAAGATGGTTTTGATAATGTGTTCTTTTATAGTTTTACGTGCCAAGAAGTGTTATGATACCAAACAAATGTAGCGATATTAATATCCAATACACTGTATACTTAGTCGACATTTCTTCAGTCCCCTTTCCTCTTGAGCGTGACTATTCGCCATCGTATGTATACCTAAGCCTTTGAGGCTATCCCCGATTGTTTTCAGATATCTCTTTGAACAGTGGCGGTATCTTGATGCAGCGGCCATGCAAATTCTTACCGCCGACATGACCAACGGATGGCAAGTGTGTGCATTAAAAAATGATAAATGCAGATGAAAGAGAGATATTTGTGATGCCTATTGTATCAAGCCAGGGTGTGACAGTGAAAGAGCAATACTCCACGCCTTTCTAAAGAAAGCAATTACAATAAACTTTTGCTCAACGAGCCGGGAATTCACTGTTTCTCCTCGCCAGTCTAAAAATTAATCAATCGACAAAAGTACCACCATCTAGGAAGCCAGGGAGTGCGCCTTTTGTTGGTACAGTATATAGAAACCCTAACTTGGCTGAGGTTATGTACGGAGGAGCAGGGAAAGGCAATGGTCATCACGGAACTTGGGCCACTAACAAGGTGAGTTCGAGGGTAAGTTGTAACCAAGAGTAAACCACGCGGGGGTATTCATGGGGCATAGATGGGATACATGAACAGCTTGGTGAGCGATTCGCCTGTGGGTGGGAGGAGTCGAAGGCTATGCCCGTACCTCTGCCATGCCAACATTGAAACGGGGGATTCAGACGCAGCAGCGAGTTCCAAGTCAATTTGGTCCTTCGTCTCTGGGTCAACTTCGTGTTAAGCATGTCACGGCCGTTAGGGTGAGAAGCGTGAGACGTACCGCATGACGGAACTTGATTCGGTTCCTCAAAGGCGGATATGAAAAATGACTGTGATGGTAGTCACGAATAAATGCGAGGGCCATGTAGAATACCCGCCAACTCTGAGCTTGGGCTTGAATACCGGCATTCAGGGGAGGAAGAGAGATGCTAGCTATTACGGCGGCGAAGTAAACCCCCTTGGCTGTTGCTCCTTGATACACAAAGAAGATGCCCTTCACCTGAGACCAGTTGGCACCGTATCAAACATTTCGAGTATCAACTGAGTGTTCGTTTTACCGTCATCTCCCCAGTCGGTGGGAAACTTGAGTCTTCGTTGGTTCGGAGGAGTGCTGGCGACGAACAAGTGGATTGTTGGGGCCGTTTAAAAGAATTTGGATCACATCCTTTCTCCAGGCTTATGAGCTGCAACACCAAGGTTACATACAAAATTGGATTCTGGGATCACTTGGGTGCCTTTTGGTTGTGAGTGCTACTCTTCCCGGAGGATTCAACATGTCTACACTAGTTGAAGCATTTCCTTCATGTCATTTCATCTGCAAGGTGGATAGAGTATATAAATTGGGAATTAAGCTTCATTCACAACGGGTCTTAACTAACTAGGATGAAAGGCGCGGAATGGAGACGGCTGTAGATGAAGTAATGTTGGTGATGAATACTACATCGTCAGAAAATGACCGACGAGACAACACATCATAAGATAGGAAGCATATCGTAAGAAGCGCGAGCTCGGATCGCTGTGGACGTTATCAGGGATGACGCTAGGTGACGAGCATATATCGGAGTCCTAAGCCCGTCCCTATCACTGATCGCCCTCGTCACCATCGGCAGTCTGTCAAATCTAGACCCAGAGTTAGTTTTAAGCTCATATGCTCCAATCCAGACTAGTTTCCGCCTTAATAATGAAAGATCATCACGAAAATGGTCATATTGATACGGGCAGAAGGAATAGATGCTTGGAACCTGGGCCAAAGGTAGTACTCGGTGATTTGTAGATAAGAGAACAGCATGAGGGATCGGCAGTTGACGGCATGGGAGGCATATGGGGCTGGCTTGGCCGTGGCTTGGAGCGACCGGAAGGTTTGCGGGGAACTCTGGAGGACTAATGCATGACGTCAAGGGCGGGATTACATCAAGACCATAGTTAGCGCTCAGCTTCGAGGACGATAGCAATTGATGTGTTAAAGGATTTGGGTAGTTATCGGTGAGGAGCACATTATGCTCTGCCGTTTGCGGTCTCGATACATGGCTGGTAGGCTTCGTGACGCTAGTACTAATCGTAAAATAGGACAATCGAAATCCAATTGCAAGCCTGTCGATAACTAGGCGGGGAATGTTATTGCCTCTTTGGATGTCCATGGCGTTTACGGGAAGACGGAAGCTGGAGGGTTGAGTTCAAGTCAGCCCAATGGAAGACACACCCGGCAATGCTTAGCCTTCCAGCCTTGGAATTCATGCATGGTTGTAATCAAGTTGTACGAACAATTCGAAGCATACACGACAGATCCATGCTACCCCAGGTTTTCCCCGCTCCATCGCTGAGACGTTTTTTGCTCATCCAAGTTGGTTAATCGCCTCATTGCATAGCCTGGTCCACCCAAGTGGCTTTGAACGTCTCACATTGATAACAAGATGCGGCCGCGGGAACCGGAAACTACTGACAAAGGTTAGTATTCGCGGGTTCCGAGGCTTCGCGACTATGACATTCGCAGTCGCTTATCTAAGAACGAGAAGGGCGACAAGTAGCCAACTCTTCCAGGCTACCGAGCTGATTATCGTTTCTTTTAATAGCCATTGCTCATTTGACAAACTCAATGGCGCATGGCGTCAATGAACTACCCGAGACTTTTTGTCAACTTGCTTATTTACTGCTCGTGATAGCCACCCAGCAATCACAAAACACGCTTCCCGGTACTGTCAGCATCTCAACCATGGTCAAGGTCCTTCGAAACGGCCGATTTCTTCGTCCGTCTGGACACAATCCAAAAGAGGCCGTTTTTTCAAACTGTCTTATCCTAGATGAGTCTTCAGGCAAGATTCTCCACGTCGGGTCAGATAACGGTGGGGAGGTGCAAAGCGCAGTGTCTTCCGGAGCAGATGTGATCGATATGCAGAATCGACTGGTCGTCCCCGGCTTCGTTGACAGCCACATGCACCTGCTGCATACTGGAGAAACTTTGAACAAGCTGGATATAAGTGGTTGTGAGACCCTCGAAGAGATTCGCACGGCCATTCGCAACTACGCGAAAGCTCATCCGGATATTGATCGAATCCTGTGTTGCAGCTGGTTCCAGACCTCTACCAACGGAGAAGCACTTGCAAGTCAGATCGATGATCTTGACCCTCGACCCATCTATATTTACGCCTACGACATGCATTCCATGTGGTGTAACACGGCCGCACTGGATGAACTGCAAGTCGCAGACCTAGAGGACCCCCCCGGCGGCACGATTCATAGAGATGAGGCCGGCAAGCCCACAGGTCTGCTATCAGAAACCGCCGCGTTAAGTATTGCCGACCCGTTCCTGAGTGGGCAGCTTTCTTCAGAGCAAAAGATGGGCTTCATTCACGATGCTATTCAAGCGTACATTGCGAGCGGATACACTGGTCTCATAGACATGGCCATGGACGAGAAGACGTGGGAGATCATCTTGAGTTACCGCGAGAAATGCGGCGGAAGTCTTCCCATCTGGATGGCGGTACATTGGTTTATTCTGCCGCAAAAGACGCTGGACGAGACTCTTGCCCAGGTCGACATGGCCATTACGCTGAACAAGCAGTACAATGAAGAGACTTCTCCGGACTGCCGCATCACCGGCATCAAGATCATGTGCGACGGCGTTGTAGACGCCTGCACCGCAAGTCTCATGGAGCCATACTCGCACAACGGCGGAAACGAGGCGGCGGTATGGACTTTGGAGGAACTCGTGCCCATCTTAAAGAAGGCCGACGACGCTGGCTTGCAAATTGCTATCCATGCTATTGGCGATGCTGCAATCAGAGTAGCCATCGATTCTCTACAACAGGTGGGAAACCCGGCAGGGCGACATCGCATTGAACATTTGGAAACATGTTCTCCCGAGGATGTCACACGCCTGGGCAAGCTCGGAATCACCGCATCGGTCCAGCCTGTGCATAGCGATCCATCCATCCTCCAGGCGTGGCCGAAGCTGCTCGGCCCCAAAAGATGCGAGCACGTCTTCCCATACAACGGCTTCGCCAAGCACGGGGCTACCATTGCGATTGGCACGGATGCTCCTACAGCGTCACACCTCGTTCTTCCGAATCTGTATACGGCCACGACGCGGCGGTCGGGGCGAAAGCCGGAGCTGGACGAGCAGACGGCCCCGAGATTTGCGCTGAGTCTTGCGGCTGCCGTGGCTGCGGCAACTCAAGGTGCTGCGTATAGTTGCTTCGCTGATGACCGTGTTGGTAGGCTGGAACCCGGGAAGGCTGCGAATCTTGCTATCATGGACGTGGTTTGGGATCCGGCGAGGCTTTTAGAAGGCAAAGTTCAGCAGACGTGGTATCAGGGCCGCAAGATTTACGGGTAGCCTCGTTTCTCATCTGGTCCGGACGCCATTGTTTGGAAGTACTATATAACAGCGAATACAACAGTGGACAAAATGATTGCGACTGTCCAAATACATTGTGGACTGACCATGTCTCCAGCACTATTCCCTTCACTCCCCGGTTGATTGTCCGTCACGGCTGCAAAGTCTGTTCCAGGTTTCAGGTCAACAAAGTTGGAACTGGTTGATCCGACATTGGCCTGCGCGATTCCGACCTGCTTGTTCGTTGCGTCATACACGACATAGGCGCTCCCGAGAACATTGCTCCCTACAATGCCGAAGCTGTTGCCTGTGATATTGTTGACTGACGTGCCTTGAAGGCCAAAAATACAAGGGGATTCCAACTTGGGGCCCAGAAGCTTATGGGTTGCCGATGTCGACAACCAGTTTTCTCAGCGGCACACTGATCGTCTTATTGGAGACGCCGCATCAACGGTGATGGAGTTGTCGGTCCTACGGCCAGCATTCTTGGCGACATTTATAGCGGCTTAACGTCATAAAATGTGATACATTACGAGTTTGACATTTTGCAACGATCTGTCTGAGATTTGCTCCCGGAATGAATATGAATATGTGGTCTTGACTTGTGTTTCTTATGTCTGGAGGCAAAGAATCTGGGTTGCGATTGCGTGTAGACACTCCCGCCGAAGGCTCTGATTATGAACGAGGATCTGTCATCAACGCCCTGATGAAAATGCCGTGACTTATATGGCTAGTGATGAGATAGCCAGCGCTTGTTTGTTCAAGGTTAGTTTAATCATCTACGCCTGCTGCTCCATGACGCTCAGATTGATCCTTTCCAGCCGTGACAATTGTTGAATGAATTAAAGCTGTCAAGACACGGAGCTATACAAATCAAACCCCCCATGGTACTTGGGTGCTCAATATCTTCCTGTGGACCTGCAGGCACTAACTAATAATTACAGTTGGGGAGTCGTCCTGTCGATTCACCGAAAGTGCAATATTTAGGATACTAGGTTTGTGGAACTATGAAAGCTCGGCGCTTACTGGTACAATTCCTCAACTGCCAATGGTATGTTATGCATGGGCCCAAGTCAGGCTCATCTCATTCAAGCAATACACATGCAAGAATTAGGATTTAGCTTTTTCGAGCTCATATTAGCCCTTTTCTAACGTACACTTCAGATAACTCATGAGATCGGGGCCGCGAGAGAGTATTATTCAGAACGGACAGTTTATCGTTGAAAACAGCCAACAATGAATAAGTAATCCGCAGACCGAAAGAAAACCTGTTTAACTTGATGCCGCGTTGCTTGTGCGGTACTACGACAAACAAATATAGACAACTAAGTGGAGGTAGCACTATCTTCTGACCAAAATGCCACGTTTTATCCAATATCTCTCCACTCTCTCACCTGGATCTTGAGTCCAAGACCTTAGAAGACGAGTCTCGATACCAAGATGGTAGCATCTCCTTGTTCAGGTTGCTATATCATCTTACAGCAGTGCTTAAGCTAACAGCTTTAACGCCCCGATTCCAGTCTACAGTTCTTCCATGAATGGACGTACTTCTAAGGACCTCACGTAAAAAATGGAAAAGATACTGAGCACTGGGATCTATATAAGCTGGAGCATTATGCAGACTGTTTTCTCAACCTCGTTCACTCAACTCATCTAAACAATAACCAACGTCGTCCCCGTACCACTCCTCCAAACCCATAAAAGAAACAAAAACGCAAATCAACAACTTTGGTATCGCTCGGCCTCGCTACGACCATGGTCCAGCCCATTGGCAAGGCCGCCGACCTCCTCTGTCAGTTCTTTTGCCAGGGCATCGCCGACCTCTTCGAGTCCCGCGCCATCATGGGACGGGCTCCTCCTGGCGTTCCCCAGGAAGAATTTGGCCGTTGCTACGACCAGATGAATGCTGTTACTGTCAATGCTGACAGCCCCGGCGCCGCCGGAGGTGATATCTCTCTGCCCCCTTTTCATAAAGGAGGCTTGATGACTGACGTGTAAAACAAAATAGAAATTCGGCTCATGGGTGTCCCGCCTGTTTGCATGAATCCTGCCAACGTACTGGTTGGCGACCCCGTCAACGGCCCTTATGCCCTCCCGTGCGGCTCCGACTGCTTGCACTACACCGGACTCAACGAGCAGCAGTTCAACGAGCTTTCCGACAAGCTTCACGCTGCCGCTTCCTAAAGAAGAGTGAGGTCACTTTTGGTGGGTTTGTTCACGAAACCCCCCAACTCTTTTACGCAAGGCCAAGGCCAATCAATACGGCGATGACTTCTACGCAGACCACAAAGCAAGCATCATCATCTTCAGTTATTTGGAACATGGGGTTCATCCCAGCTCTTGGGATGTGTGGCGGTGATACTTTTCTAGCTTATATAGTAGCTCTTGGCTATATAGTAATGGGACGGTTTTGATGTCACAGTTCGTAAGCACTTGGCTTCTTTGATTACTCCAACGTTTTCCACCAAGGCAGTCGTATATATAGCTCCAACATGCCTATACTCGCCCCTTCTCTTTCTCATGTTTCACTCCCTCATTACAGCCCCAAGCAACAACTTCTCTCTCCTACAATGAAGCCGATATCCCTTCCAGATGCTCCATCTACTCTGGAGCCAACCGTGTAGTTCCTTTCAACTGCCCCCATCTTCAAATACACTGTCCGACAGAGCCCAAAGTCAAGATGGTCTTGCTCCCATTGAACATTCTTTTCCCACTCCAAAGCTATCGCACGGCGAGCCAACTGTCCACCCAACTGCCCGGCCTGGACTGGCTGTTGGCAGCCACAATCATCATACACATTATACATGCGACCTCGGCACTACATCTCGAGTCGTGGGTTATGCCTCCCCGACCCCCAGTAATGTGGGACACCATCACGGCATTCAAAGCCCGGACGAAACCCCAAATACTACGCCAAAGAAGCGATCCCGCACCTGGGGATACACCAGCACCAGTCCAAAAGCGCCTCATGTTGTCGCCAGACGTCTCCCTCTCCTAACCGTCCTCGCAGCTCTATACATGGGTGTAGAGCTGGGCATCCTCTTCTAACTCAAAAACGGTCCATGGGATTTCGGAACCGCACACCAGAAATACTTGCACTCGAGAATAGATCGTGCCGCAGCCTTTCGCGTGGTTTTCGCATTCCACTGGGCGTGGCTGACGTATCTCATTCTCACGGCCGCCAATTCCGCCCTCGCCATCATATTCGTGGGCTTGCTCCAGATCGCCCAACCTGACGAATGGCCTCCCTTGCACGGCAATCCATTTCAAGCATACACTATCCAGCGCCTTTGGGATGTGTTCTGGCATCAAATCGGCGCTCTGTCACAGCTGCATAACGGCCGTCATTACCCGCAGGGTGTTGAGGCTCGAACCCGGAAGCACTGTGGAAAAGATGACTCTTGCTCTCTGGGTATTTGCCGTGTCGGGGACTATTTATGCACTTGTGACTTGGAAGACCAAGCCGGAAGCAGATCCGGTCCGTGATTTGCGGTTTCTGATGCTCAATTTTCCGGGAGGTCTGGCCGAGATGGCTATGGGACGAACAAATTTGGTTGGTGGCGGGCGGCAGTCCGTCAGTGTTTTGAGTCGCTTGATGGGTTATCTTTGCATATTGGCCTTTTCTACTGCATCGTACCGCTTTCCAGTTCCCCATCCTGTACAAGGCCGCCGTCAAGAGGATGCCTTTCAAGGTGGATTGAATATCGGTGGGAGGGCCTAGAGCAGACGTGATATTATGAGCAACGCATGGGCACTTATTGTCTAATCAGGAGAACCATCAGCACTGTACACACCAGACACTTGTCAGTCGCTTCCGGGAGGTTGGCGCTCAATTTAACGCCATCCCCAACTGATACTGCGTGAGTTTCGTCTTTTGAAAGCCCAGCTTGTTGGCCAATTCTTCCCCATACTCCTTCGGGAAGATGGGCGGTGCCATCCACTTCTTTCCCGGGAAACGTCCCATCATCGCCTTCACAAGCCTCGTTGCCTCGCCTTTCCTCCGAGATTGCGGCGCAGCAATTAAACAGGCCAGTTTGACCGTATCCTTCTCTTTGTCCTCTGGATCAGTCACTACACAATACGCATCGCCCAATCGAAAGGCCCTATTAGTTTCAGGGGATTTGTCAAATCCCCACGCCTGCCAGGGTAAATCTGCTGCCCCGTGAGTCTTGACCAGCACATCGACCTCCTCAAATGAACATGGCTTCAGTTCCGAATCCGCTGGGAATTCTGCTTGGTGGGGAGTATATTGCCACCCCAATAGCTCTCTTGTGATGATGCATCCAGCATTAGCGTACATCTTGAGAGCCGGCGCGTTCTGCTGTATACATTCAAATCCCACCGTGGACATGCCGCGAGCCCTTTCAGCGTCGAAAACCATCTTCAGGGCTTTTGGTCCGACGCCCTTGCCCCTAGAGGCCTTGACTATGCCCATGGCGCCCAGACGGGTCTCGGTGGGTTTGTCTGGGCGGATGGCGATGAAGGCGAAGCCGATGGGTTCGTTGGGGTTGTCTGAACTGTAGAAGGCGTGGCTGTGGGCCGTGGAGACGTGTTTCAAAATAATGTAGTTGGAAATCGACTCGGCGGTGAAGTTGACCAAGCTTCCCATGTAATCTTCAAAGGACTTGTTGAAGAGGTCGGCTATTTGGCTGTTTGACAATTCTGATGCGGGTCTGGATTCCATCGCGACACGTTCGTTCTGCATCTTGTACCAGTTTCTTCTGGACTTCGACGTATATCACGCAAAACAAGGGAGGCCGAAGAGCTTCAAGATGCTCGCCGGAGGGCGCAGCTTTTGGATGATCTGTCTTGAGCGGCCGGACCTGGTGGAGCTCCGTGGGTGATGAGTTGGTCAAGGTCGTTCGGTTTGAGCATTCGACTAACTTGATCAGCGAAGTTTGTCACTCTCTATCATAGCTGGCCCCCAAAATATGATATGCGATCGTGAGCTTGGCACATCCGCCCAACGAACTTGTGCCTGTCAAGTCCAGAATTTTGCTAAATCCGCTCCGAATAGCCCAAGTCTACGATGCTCTTATCGGTTCAATCACAACGTGGCTCACTTCTTCCTTTAGAGGGGTTTCCGTTGTGTCGCCAAAGTTGGTCATGGCCATAGGAACTTTGGGACACTCGACCCTTGACCATTCACGGGTGTTGACTTGCAATTGCATCTCTCGTGCATGCCGACGTTCGGATTTCGAGGGGGAACCACTAGAGCCGCAAGCTTGTCTCAAGATCAAATTTCATCATCAGTCGCCAGGCAAAGCACGTAGAGCACAGTCGGTCAGCGGTGAAGAATCCGAGGCCAAAAAGCCGTCAAGTTGCCAGGTTGCTGGCAGTCAGAAGTCTGGTCTAGGCGTAATAGCTCCGAAGCTGTGATGAGCATGATGGCTCCTTCCCAAATTGCGGCAGTCCTGGCAGGCCCCTCGTAGCCCCGCTAACATTTGAACACGCCTACATCGCTTCGCGACGTAATTGGCCCAGGCATAGATTTTTACGGGTTTGATGCCCGTAATTATTTGTATTGGCTAGAGTTTGGTGCCTTTATTTACGCCCATTCGCAAGTGAATTCTAGGTCCCAGTGTTCCCGCTGCTCTCCGGTGTACCCCCGAGATTGTAGCTTCAAGCGCTGTTCGGCAGCCAAAGAGTACGTACTACAATAATTCGGCAAGCCCCCGCCAATCTCCGTTTCGAAACTCGAAAGCACCCGAGCTCCCCACAAAGCACAAAGCTCCACAGTTTCCCGACATGGACCCATCTCATCTAGAATGCCGCCCCTCTCACCCGGAACACTTCCGCCTTTCCGACAAGCACGCGGAACCTCTCCTGATTGGCCGATGTCCCCGGCCCAAGGCTAGAAACGGATGTCGCTGGTGAAGCTTTGCCGTCAAGTCCAAGCTGGTGACGTGGGGTTCCCAAAGCCCAAATGCATAATGACCTTGCACCAATGTGAAAAACATAGGTGAGGATGAAATAAAAACAAAAAAAAAACACATCCTACGCAATTAATCAATGCATCCTTGGAAGCAAGAATCAACACGGTACCGAAAATCGTCAAAATGTCCGACTACGCTCTCTACGCCTACTTTCGCTCCTCATGCTCCGCCCGCCTCCGCATCATCCTCAACCTCAAAAACATTTCCTACGACCTCATCCCCGTGAATCTCCTCAAAGACGAACAGCTGTCTGCCGAGCACAAGGCTCTCAACCCGTCTGCCTCGGTGCCCCTTCTCGTCTCCAAGCGCTCTCCCGATGCAGGCTTCAAAATTGGCCAGTCCGTAGCTGCCCTCGAATATCTCGAGGAAGTACACCCCGAGGTGCCCACGCTGCCACCAACAGGCGATGCCAAAGGACGCGCCACCGTCCGGGTTCTATGTGAAATCATCGCCGCGGACACGCAGCCCGTGACCAACTTGAGAATCATGCGAAGAGTGAGAGCGCTGGGCGGGAGCGCAGAGGAGTGGAATAAGGAATTGATGGGCGATGGTCTGAGGGCGTATGAGGCCGTGGCCAAGGACTCGGCCGGCAAGTACTCGGTGGGCGATAACGTCACCATGGCCGACGCTTGTCTGATGCCTGCTCTTTGGAACGCGCAGCGCTTCGGGGTGGATTTGTCGCAGTTTCCAACCGTCTCTAGAATCTTTGGCAATTTGAGTGAGCATCCGGCTGTACAAAACGCTGATTACTTCATACAGCCGGATTGCCCCGAGGACTTGCGCAAGAAGTAGCCAACAATATGAATTGTATTATGTAAAATTACAACGAACTACTGCGTTCCTTGGCAATTCTTGGTTCTATTTTTCTGTGCCCAAGATTTCACATGTTTCATAGCATCACTGGAAAACGCTTTAAAACAAAGGCTTGGCTGGCAGGATGGTACCAGACACCTCACCGAATCCAATCAAAGCGCCTTGTTCACCAGCCCAACCACGAATAGTCACCGTGTCCCCGTCCTGGAAAAACTTGCGCTCCTCCCCGCCCTGCAGCTTGACTGGAACCTTGCCGCCTTGAGTTTGCTCCAGAATACTGCCTTCGCTGCCGGGTTTGTCTCCCGTGATGGTTCCTGAACCCAACAGGTCACCGGGCCGTAAGTTGCAGCCGGTAATTGTGTGGTGGGCAATCATCTGCGGCCAGGACCACAGAACGTTCTTGGAGTTGGACCTGGAGATGGTGGTCTTGTTGCCCTTGGCAGCTGCGACGGGTTAGTACAGAAGTAGAATGCGAAAGACGGATAACAAGTCCAGAATCACTCACTAGTCACGTCAACTTCCAGATGAATATCGAGGCAGTTATTCTTCTTTTTTTCCTGGAGATATGGCAAAAGAGCGGTATCGTTGGGGATGCCGGCGGTTCTCGAGTTATTAAGGGCGTCTGCCAAAACCACCCAGGCGCTGATTGTTGTGCCCATGTTCTTGGCAGTAAAAGGACCGAGAGGGATGTACTCCCAGGCTTGGATATCTCTGGCACTCCAGTCGTTCATCAAGACGTAGCCGAAAATGTAGTCCTCGGCCTCGTCAACGGGGATAGGGCTGCCGAGCTTGTTCTCGCGGCAGATGAACATGCCCATCTCGAGCTCCAGGTCCAGTCGCTCACAGGGCGACAGGGTGGGGATCTTGGGCTCGGCCTTGGGATCCTTAAGAATCTGTCCCCAAGGACGATGGAGAGGGGTGCCGGAAACCACGACACTACTGGCGCGGCCGTGGTAAGCAACGGGAAGATGAATATAGTTGGGTTGCAGAGCATTGTCCGGGCCACGGAACAAAACACCAACGTTGTATGCGTGGTTCTTGCCGGCGTAGAAATCTGTGTAGTCGCCGATGTTGAGAGGAAGATGATTCTCAACATCAGCGCGCTTTAAAAGCGCATTCTTCTTGAGCTGCTCATTGTCCTTGAGAATCTGGGGGTGCTTGGTGTCTGCACTGAAAATAGACTGGAGGTACTCGCGAGCTGAGCGATGGAAAGATCGGCCCAGAGCAGCGAAGTTGTTGAGAGACTCGGCCGCAAAAACGTCTTGGTGCTTCTGAATTTCAGGAGAAGCAGAGAAACCGCCACCGCTGGCAAATGCCTTGAGGTCTAAAGCATAGTCGCCAATAGCAATGGCAGGGCGCTTTGTCGCATCGCTTGAGGTGGAGATGATGCCAAAGGGAATGTTGGCAATAGAGAAGTGAGAGTCGGGGGAGATGGTGAGCCACGACATGGTGAAATGTGAGACCGCAGTCGCAAGATCGGGGGCTGTTCGGCACACAAGGATGGAGTTGAAGAGAGAGAGATTGAAACGGCTCTGCTATCCAGAAGACGAAAAATGAGTTGGCCAGATCAATGTCTTAAGCCCGTCTGAGCTCGTCACAGCTGCCGGAAGCTCTTTCCTCTGTTCCGTTTTCTGCCCCGCCGGAGTTGCCGCCGCAACCCGATTTCGATGGCGGGGGCGAGGGCAAGCCGATGTGCGGAAATTGCTCCGGCATGGGTCTTCCCTTCCGCTTGAATCAGTCAGTCCCATCTCGTACGCACAAGATGACTTGCATTTTCTGGGGCCAGAATGCCGTGCTTCATCTTTACATTTGACGAGGCAAGGCAAATCAATGGAATGTTCGCCATCAAGCTCCGATTCGAAATGCTCCATCTCGACTTGCCTGTAAGGACACGTTGGACGCTCATCGAATAAACATTCTCTTTTACATGTGGCCATTTACTGTCCTGGTGTTTGTCGGGGTTGGCAGTTCCGATTCCGATTCGAGGCGATGCTTAGCATTACGGGAAATGTCGCAACTCCCGAACAAGTTGATGCAAGAAGGACCCGGGGCTTGCCATGCGGTTTTCATGCTTAGAAATAAGCCATCTTTCAAATGCTTTATAGAACGACGCTTTGTTACGGGGATTCTCCTTGAATCAGATACACTAAGAACACCTGTGCGGCACCACAAACACTGAACAACAAGTTCCAGAGTGGGATAATAAAGAATCGCAATAGCTCAAAGTAGGGAAAAAGGTTCATTAAAACGTTCGGACTGAAATAGAAGTCGGATCTGCCAACACCGCTTGTTAACTTGCCATCAAGTAGCAGCTCGACTCTACCCTTTCGGGTGTTGCTCGCCAGCTTTACTACACTTAAAAGAAACGACTGAATCTCGAGAATAGAAACAGGCCTCTTCAGTGATACTATACGGTGATATGATGACAAATGTGCCTCTGAGGTCAGTCGCCGTACTTTCATTAAAACCATACTTGCTCCCTTGTCCTGACGTGGACTGTACATAATAACATCTAACATGGAAGGCGTCCAAGACGCAAACAACCACCGTCCCCCGAAATTCAAGACCGGACTTGGCTGCCCATTCCACCTAGCGGTCCATCGGTGGGCAGTTGGCCCTGTTGTCGGAGCCGACAGAAATCTGGGCCGAATCCCGCGGACCCTGCAAGCCATATGCGAAAAACTGTCCGACGACATATCACAAATCACATCTAGCCCATATCATACATCAGCGATTGTACCAGGCCTCTGGTTTGTGTGGCAGTGCTCCATTGGCTTGACAGGCTGCCAATAGCGGCCAAAACATCGAAAGGTTGTCAAGGAATGTAGCATACGTGCTACGTACTCCGCCATAAGTTCCAGAGGAGATGGACATAAAGGTTCAACAAGCCGCCCTCGGAGATTTTGCGGTCTCAAGCACTTCCGATCCCTGGATTCACTTAAACGGCAGAATCCGCTGCGGAGTATCGCCTGTACAATACGACATTATCTACTCCTCTATGGCACTAGTGAAGTTCCAAGAACAGGCATTTAGTAACTTGCCGCCTGGACTCCGTATGTTACTTATCGATTCAAATGCTTTTATTATACCATGTTGCTAGTGCTATAGATGAGCTACAGCTAAATTCACTGAAGTGCCTTATTCTAGATATATGCTTACCTTCCTGCATTCATAGTAGAGCTTGAATCGGCGCATCGGCTATAACCTAAGCACCGATACTACCCTACTATGCGTCAACATCCCTGGTATCGGCCACTGGATACCCCGAGAAAACTGTCTCGTCGACGTGTAGCGTCTAAAATCTCGTGTCGTTGATCACACCCCGCAAAAGATCTGGAGCGCAATTCTTGAGTTGGTCGTTGACGTCAAACTTAAACCGGTATGAGGCCCGTGAGGACGCAATCCTTCATCCACTAAGAGGGGTGCATACAACGCAGAGGGCGCGGACATCATTGAAACCCGACAGGCTCCATGGGTAATTGGGCTCATTTTACGGACTGTGCTTTGAGATATTAGATAGTGAGGCAAAAGGGTGGTACCGCCACGCCCTCGATAGTCTAGTCGATGTTCGGTCACGTCTTGGCCATAAAAGCAACCATCCTTCCATCGCTCTGCTGAACTTCCTTTGGCAAATCACTTTCTACTCTTCAACATGTCCTCAAGCGATGTCTTCACCACGAGAGGCAGCTTGGCTGCCATCCCCATCGAATGGGACGAAAGACACCTTGTCCCTCTCGTCACCTTGCTGGCATCTACGGTATATCCACGTCTCTTGTCCTTGCCTTCTAACCTTCTTGGAGCTCACAGCTTACATGGAAACCTTTTTCCAGTTCTTTGCCTTCCACGTCGCCCAAGCCATCTACCGCCTCTGGTTCCACCCGCTCTCCAAGTTCCCAGGCCCCGTCCTTTACTCCGTCTTTTACCTCCCCTACCTATATCAGGCTTATATCAAAGGACGATGGATCTTCAGGACCACAGAACTGCACCAAAGATACGGCCCCATTGTTCGAGTTGGTCCGAATCACATTATTGTTGATGGCGAGATTGGGTGGCCTCAAGTGTTCGGACGCCGGAAAGCCGATCAATCCGAATATGAAAAGATGCCCGCCGCCCACCAGGCCAAGGCGTACAGTATTATCGGTGCTACTAGGGACATTCACCGGCGTCAGCGCCGGCAGTTGAACCATGCATTCAGCGACGTCGCCCTCGCCCAGCAAGAAGATGTCATCCAGGAATATGTGACGCTGCTCCTTGAGCGCCTTCAAACACGTGCTGATGGAGCAGAGGCCGTAGATGCGGTAAAGTGGATGAACTGTACAACATTCGACATTATCGGCGACCTGGCCTTCTCCGAGTCCTTTTCAAGTCTGCAGAACAACGCCGTGCACCCTTGGGTTAAGCTCATCTTTGATAGCGTTCGTTTCCTCGCGATTAGGCGATTCTTTGCCAACTTCCCCCTCTTGAAATTTACGCTGTCCATGTTCAGCAGTAAATTTGGTACAAAACAGCATCCTTCGAGAGACCACGCCAAGGACAAGGCACGTCGAAGAATGGCGCTGGGACAAGATCCTCCCAGCGGCCGCAAGGACTTCATGTCGTACATGCTTCGCAAGACCAGGGATGGACAGGTCGGCATGTCGGAGGAGGAAATTCTCGAGACGTCTCCTACTCTTGTTCTTGCCGGCAGTGAGACCACGGCGTCAGCACTCTCTGCATTCTGTTTCTACATGGATACGCATCCACGGGCATACGCGCAATTGGCCGAGGAAATTCGAACAGCCTTCAGCTCGGAAGAGGAAATCACCATGCAAAGTGCTTCACACCTGGAGTACCTGCAAGCCTGCGTCAACGAGGTTCTCCGAATATACCCGCCTGCCGCAGAAACGCCTGCCCGTGTCTCCCCCGGTGACTTTATCGAGGGGGTATATATACCCGCTAATGTAGGTCTATGCTCTGCATTCACCTGCTTTCTTTCCATTACCCGTTATATGCAATCTGTACTGACCGAGCCGTAGACACTGGTTTCCGTCTATCAGTGGGCAACGTTCCGCAACCCCAAACACTTCAAAGACCCGGAGTCCTTCATCCCTGAGCGATGGCTATCCCCTGCTCACCCACTTTACGATGAACGTTTCAAGGACGATAACCACGCCGTATTTCAGCCATTTAGCTACGGTTCTAGGGATTGCATCGGCAAGAACCTCGCGATTAATGAGCTGCGCCTCATCATCAGTCGCATGCTGTACCGCTTCGATTTTGAGGTACTCGAAGGGCAGGATGATTGGCATACGAAACAGAAAAGCTTCATTATTTGGGATAAGAGCCCGCTGATGGTTCAATTCAAGACGCGACAGACAGCTAATTAGGTGGAGCGAGAATAGTATACAATAAAATGAAACCTCTGAGAGCTATGATTTATGACTTGGTATGGAACGGATTGGCATTACTAGGCATTTAAGGGAGACTCACTCACTATTTTCATGGATATCATGGTACTTGACGAAGAATGTGCGCATTCAAGAAATATATTGACAATCTACAAGCATGCATCATACTGCGAGTATCTTGCAGAGAGCAATTGTGCAGGAACAAGGCGAGTGGCGCAAGAGGCTGAAGATCATATATACAGCGTCCATTATATAAATTCACACGCATCTCTTCTTCGGGCATTTGATGGACTGCTTTCCTTGGCACCCAGGCTGCAAAGAGTCGCCGTTCGGTTGTTGAATACCTTGGTAGTGAATGGTGGAAGCGGAAGCGTGTAGTTGAGTTGCTGCAATTTTTACTCCAAAATTGCAACTTGGTAGATCGCAAGATTTCAGGTATAACTTGACCACAACGCAGGACAGGACCAAGTAGGCTAGGTCTAACGTACCACTCGCTGTGGAATTGGGCAGCGCCGAAGCTGAACAGAGAAATAGGGTCTTGTTGAGTGATATCATGAACGGTCTGTATGTTACGACAGGTTTAATACAATCCTCTAACCGCTGAAATCCCTGGGTGGGAAAATATGGCCGCCAGTGTTTGTACCCGATAACCCTTGCACGTAGTTGATAGCCTTTCCGGTGGCCGTCGTTGTGGCAATCGTCGTCGAGATGCCTGCCAACATAATGTCAGAGATAGTCCATGGTGGGTAAGTCTGAAAGCATTTGATCTAGAGACACTTCAGTCGACATGTTTTGGCTCGGTTGGAATTCCAAATTACAAAATGCGGCAGGTTTCGGGGATCGGTTGTGATGCCGATGAAGCCCAGAGGGCAATTGTGATCCATGTATTGTTTCTTCGAAATTCTGCCATGATCTAGTCCAGCGAGTGCGGTGGAGAGCACTTGTCCTGAGCAATGAATTGCTTTATGAGGGATGGGAACCAGCCTGAGTCGGTGCTTTCAAGACATTTTTTGCAGTTGTTTCTATGGATGGCTTGAAGACTCGTCGCCTGACGAAAGAAATTCGGTGTTAGAATGGCGATTGTGCCCCAAATGGGTCGACAGCATCATTGGAACCTGCGAGCATGTTGGTTTCTATTGTCGCCTCTCTGCTTTGTCTTGCCAGATCAAGAGAGATACATGGCGCTTCAGACACAGATAAGTGTAAGAGCAGAGAGAGAGACCCAGGGAGAGAAGGGCGGAGCGCCGAGGGCAGAAATTGTAATGTGCGTTGTAGTACTGCATGGAAACTTTAGAGTAGGGCAAGATCAATGCGGTGTGTCGGTCATTCAGTAAAAATTGAATCAGCTCGACGACTGGAGCAGGGAGAACCGACTCTGCACCGCTGTAGAGTTTAGCTTGTATCAGGTCCTTGCAAAGGAGATTGCAGTCCTAAGTAACAAATATATGACTTGTCGCTAGTTGCCAACAGAGGTTATCCGGACACTCTTGCAGTTTAAAACTTGGCCTGCTCGCGCTTTGTCTTGGCCTTTTCTTTATCTCTGATCAAACGTCTCAGGATCTTTCCGCTTGGATTTTTCGGAACCACATCAATGAATTCTACACCACCTCTCAGTCGCTTGTAATCACTCTTATGGCCGGCGATATGCTTCATGATGCTCTCAATGATGTCCCTATCGGCCCCTTTGACGCCTGGCGCTTTGACCACGAAAGCCTTTGGAACCTCCCCTTCTCGGTCGGCAGGAACTCCAATAACCACACAGTCGTTCACGGCCGGGTGCGTCAGAAGATGGCCTTCTAGCTCAGCGGGGGCCACTTGATGTCCCTTGACTTTGATTAACCTGGAAAAGCAGTCAGACCAGTCGCTACAGTGCAAGGAGTTTCCTCTTCAACCTACTCCTTGATTCTATCCGTAATAAAGATGTGTTCGTTGCCCTTCTCACTTTTTGCAACGAGCACTTCGTCTCCCGTTCTCATGTATCGCAATCCATCGTCAGCAGTCACGAAAGTCTCGTCAGTCGCTTTCTTGTTGTTGAGATATCCGACAACGACAGACGGAGAATGCACCCAAAGTTCACCAGTCTTGTTGTATTCTTTTACCTCTTCGCCCTCTGGAGTAAAGATTCGGGCGATGAATCCAGGTAGGAGTGAGCCAGATCCTCCTAAGAAGATGTCCTGAGGCATAGTTGCGCAGACAACGGTCGAGGTCTCTGTGAGTCCGTACCCTTGGAGTAGTACAACCTTGGGTAGGACCTTTAGAAAGGCCTTTGCCGTATCCTCCTTCAGGGGCGCAGCTCCCGTGAACACTGCACGGACCGACGACATGTCAAACTGTTTGACCACGTCCGGTTGCTTTGTCATATGAAGAATCATTGGTGGGACGAGGTACAGCATTTCGATCTTAAAGCCCTGAATAGACTGAAGCAAAAGATTGAAATCATACCGGGGTAGAACGACAACTCCGTCTCCGCGATAAGGACCAACATGGCAGATGACGATTAGGCCATAAATGTGCGACATTGGCAGAAGCCCCAAGCAGTTCTCCGTGTAGCAACTCACCCCGAGCTCCTTCTCAACAGAATCTCGGTTCGGCCGTGCATAAGCCACGAACTGAATAGTATTAGCAATAACGTTCCTGTGCGCAATCATGACGCCCTTTGGAAGACCAGAGGTCCCGCTACTGTAGCAAAGGAATGCAATCCTCTTTGCGCCATCCCCTTTCTTCCAGTATGCGTCGGCAGGCTTAAACGAGGGCAAGTTGGCACCGGCCCTGATCAAGTCGTCTGTTGTTTTGAGGCCAGGGTTGGAAAGACCGGGCGTGACGGCTGAGGCGAGTTCGTGGAGAAAAAATCGTTCCTTGGGGATTCCAGTTCTCTCCACCGCGGCCACTGTTGTCTTTAGTAGGGGGAGGCAGGTGAAGACAGCCTTGGCCCCAGAATCCCTCAGCTGATATTCCAGCTCACTGGAATTGTACGAGGCGTTCACGCAGGACAAGATACCTCCGAGTCGATGTACAGCCCAGGCCAAGGTTAAATAGTCAATAGAGTTGAGACTAAAGCACGCGACCACCTTGTCCCACTCTGTGCCTTCGTGGGCTTTGAAGCCCAGTTCCCCGGATAGGGCGCGTGAGAGATGGTCAACGCGTTGCTGCATCTGCAGAACACTGTAGGACCTGCCGCTTAGACCATCCGTGAATGGAGCGCGAGAATGTCGCACTGGACAGCGACCATATCTCTCGTCGAACATGAACGTTTCCAGGGAGATGGAGTCGGGGATCTCAGGAAGTTGAGGAACCCATGATGGGGGGTAGAAGGGCATTTCGGGTGTCCGCGATGGGTAACCGGCAGAAGACGGAGGTAGATGGCTGGATCATCGGCCAGAGTCAACTGCGTTCGCAGCCAAGGGAGATGTGATTGTCCGCGTGAGAACCCACGTCAAAGCCTCCTGCCGGTTGAACACAACAGCCTCTGCGAGCAATGTTTGAAGCAAGAAAGCAGCTCGATTGGAAATATTCACAAGTATCCATGCAGTGCTGCCGAGGCCGTGGCGTGGGAGAATGATTTTAGCTACACTTTCCGTAATAACAGCGTCACGAGGTGAGGTCTGGCGCATCGACTTGCCCCGACCTTGTCTCCACCTTGGCCCAATTGGGCATCCATTTATCCATCTGGGGTCAAATTGTTGTTATGAATGAATTAGTGCCGACGCTATACCTTTTTTGTTGCCCCTTGTGTTGCAAACGTTTTGCACCGTTTGTGTATCAGTGCGCATAATTGTATGTATGTATGCTTTTGCTTACATTGTAGGCTATATAAATAAACTATACTCAACGTTGATAGCTAGGCATCTAGAAAGGAGTTTAGCTATAGTAGTAAGGGCTATTTGATACCATACAGCTCAAGATTCTATTGTCGCCCGGTACGACGCCATATCATCATGAGGGGATGCACTGGGCTTAGAAGTTCAGGGATTGTAGTATTGTACCCTGCACCACCCGCATCAGGTCTCCAGAACGACATTATGCAAAGAGAGATGGTTATTATTCGTTAACATCTTGCCCTCCCCTCGCATCAACGACAATTCTATCCATCCACTAGCTTCAGAACGCGCCTTCGAGAAAGGGGACACCATGTGTACGATAAACCCGCACGAAGAGGTCTAATGGTCCCTTTGCAACTGAGCCCGATCCGCAGCCAACGCATATATAGGTTGCGTCGATCGAAGGAACTGCCATGAGCGATCGGGCTTTCATTCGCCCTCTTACTCCGGATGCTTCTTGTGCGTTAGCAGCATTTATTTGTTCCAACATAGCGTTCTACTCTTATAACCGACGGTTTCCAGGACTTCTTTACATCGTTGGCCAAAGCTAGCTCCAGCTTCCGACGCGATGTTACGACTGCCTTTACAAATCTCTGCTCTTCTTAAGCGCCGCACCATACTTTTCAAAGCCTAAAGTACCTCCAGGCATACAAAAACCGATTGACCTACCCCTGCCAAGGATGCTTTTTATTTTACCTCTCTTCACATGGTCCCTGGCTCTGCTCTTGGAGCGGCTCTGTGACTTGTTTCTGTCTTGAACCTCGTGTCCGAAATGCCTCATCAGCTAACGGCAGCCAATGTGAGTGATTTTTCAACTTGGTAGATTCTCGCCAAACTCGTTTGTATTCTGCTCTAGTCATAACGAGAATTTGACCAGTAGAACATGGGTAGAACCTGTTGCTCTTCGTTTCTCACTCTTCAGGCTTAGGCCCATGCGGATGGCAAAGATCAGGCTGTTACATGTGTACTGACACAATCAATTGCCTAACAAAGCCGATTGCGAAGCGGCATTGTTTGCAGCTACATGTTTATTGAGCCGTTCTATGGCATGCGTTGGTAACGGTGGCGGAGCCGACACCATCTGGCAAATTGACGCCGGCATGCGAGTGGAAGATGGCGCTTGGAGATTTTCATATCCTTCGTCTACAACGCTTTTTGCTCAAGAAATAGCCGCACAATGGATGAAGAGATTGATAGAGTTTCGAAAGGTGGCGAAGTTTCTCCCGTAATAGTTAGAGGGTTGGGAGCCCGAGGCAGAGTGCACACTCTGATCGGGCGTCTTTGTCTAGATCTGACTGGGCCTGCTCCGCAGTCAAGGTGAAAAAAATTCACTTGGGACAGATGTTTTTCTGTTGTGGTCGTTCCTGATACCGAAGCTGCTTTTGACTCAGAAATGATCGCTGGAAGCGCTATGGCGATTGGGCTACGGCCATAATCTGTACACAGTTTACGGATAATGTAGTACAGAGCAAGGAGCAGTAAGCAAAGAGACTCTGATTGATGAGGGAAACTAAGCCCTTCTTCAACTTGTATGAAGAATGGTCAAATGACACGTTGCACAATGGAGTACTCCGTACTGTGCGCTGTCATTATTCGCCTAAAGGTCACGTCGATTACTTGGCGTTCTGACAGAGTTATTCAATGTTCGCTTGAAACAAACGGATGGACACAGGGAAGTTGCCGTTTCTCGCATTGGCCCAAGTGGTTTGACCGAGACATGGTGGCTCTCTCTGAGCTCGAAAAACAAGGCATCGGTGCCCTGACAAAGGCTAGAACAGCCCGAAAGCCAGGAACAAAGAATTCTTAGAATTTTTAGAACCTTGGACCGGGGAGTGCCCGCTGTGAGTGGACACACGGCTGGAAGGGGCTCCATCTTTGTGCTGCTGTCCCCAGCATCGGCGGAATTGGCCTCCACCGACGATGGTGGGTTTTGTAGATCCTCCATAGTGAGGACTCTCAGGGAACTGAGGGACTGAGGCAGGAGCATTATTCGTGGAGATGTTGAATCAGCCTCTGTTGTCATGTCGATGAAACCATGAAGAGCAATCAAAGCTCCAATGGCTCTCCCCGGGCATGTACGGCTTTATCACGACTCGTCTGGCGAATCAGAAAGATGAAAATGGAGTCGCCTAGGAAAGTCAGCAGTCATATCGCGGAAATGGCAAAAAAAAAAGGAGTAATGACCTGCAATCTCGTATCGCTCGAGGACAGCCACCTTGAAATGCGCAGCCAATTCCTGTCGTCCCCTCCTCGCAAATGCCGTGAGATTGGAGGACAGGAGGGCAAGACAACGTATCGTGCGGCCACGCCGGATCTGGCCAGTCATGAGCCAAGAAACGCCCGGTTCGAGGGCTTGGAGGACTAAACGAGCTGACCCGCTCCCAACCACGACTGGAGTCTGCACATGGATGGCGTCAGGGGAAAAAGTGGTACGGCGTCTGGTACCTGAGCACGGGGACGAACCGCTGGAGGCCTGGAGGCAGCGGTTAACAACATCCAACCAGACTCTCGCGAACTCGGTAATTAGTGGGACGGGGCTGTGCATATTCACTCATCACGAAAAACAAGGCACCCAGGGGTAAAAGCGTTGCTGATGGCCTCACGCGTTGCACCCTTTTCTGCTCTTTTTCTCCTCAACCATCCTTCTCTCCAAGAGTAGCAGAGCAGTTTCTTTCTTTGCCGCTGTGACTCTTTTTTTTTCAAAGCCATTCTTTTGTTTTGTTATTTTCGCGGCTCTTCGCGTCGTAATTCGTTCTTAATAACACTTTAGACTCCGCAACACGCTCATTCACAGAACGAACTATCGAAACCACTCCTTCAAAACCGACTTTTCCAGCAAAATAAGACTGCGTCATTGCCACTGGGTCGTCGTTTATCAAAATTGAAAGAAGTACGACCGCCCAAAATGCATCTGTCGACTACTCTCCTCGCCAGCGCCATGACCATGGGCGTCTCGGCCGGAACCAACTATCTTGGTTTCAACTCTGGAGCAACCCTTCCGGACCGATCTGCCAAATTCAAGAAAAACTTCGTTGATGAGATGAAGACCGCTCAGGGTCTTGTTGGTGCTCCTGGGACCTTCAATACTGTCCGCTTGTACACCAACATCCAGGCCTACTCGCAGGACGATCCTATCCAGGCTTTCGAGGCCGCCATTGAGACCAAGACCAAATTACTCTTGGGTATCTGGGCCTCGGGCACTGACAACATTGATAAGGAGATCAGCGCCCTGCAAAAAGCCGTCGAGAAGTACGGCAAGGAGTTCACAGACCTCGTGATCGGAATGTCCATAGGAAGCGAGGATCTTTACAGAGATTCAGTCACCAGTAAAGAGAACAAGGGCGGCGTTGGCAACTCCCCTGATGCCATTGTCAAGTTTATTGGAGACTACAAAAAGGCCTTCAAGGACAATGCCTTGAGCGAGGTTCCGGTTGGACACGTCGACACTTGGGATGCCTGGACCAACTCGTCTGTCAAGGCCGTCATCGACGCCGTGGACTGGGTTGGCGTCGACGAATATCCCTTCTATGAAAAAGGCAAGGGAAATTCCATCGAGAACGCCCCTTATCTATTTGAGAAGGCGTATAGTGCTACTGTCAATGCGATCAATGGAAAGCCAATCTGGGTCACAGAGACTGGCTGGCCAACGACCGGCCCTGATTGGGATGACGCCAAGGCATCTGTCGAAAACGCCAAATACTACTGGGATGAAGTTGGTTGCCGCAGTCTCTTCAATAAGGTCCCTACCTTCTGGTAAACCTGCGTGACTCTAATCCCGACAACAAGGTCAAGTTCGCCATCACCAAGGACCTGTCCGCCGAGGCTCCCCTCTTCAACTTGACTTGTCCTAAGACCTTCAAGACAAAGCCCAAGTCTTCAAGCGTTGTCTCTAGCGCCACTGGCACTGCTACCAGTACTGCCACCGGTGCTGTCAACGGTACTGTCAACGGTACTGCTACTGCCACTGGCGCTTCTAAGCCTACCTCTACTGGAGGCTCCGGCAACTCTGGCTCCAACGGTTCAAACGGCTCCAACGGCTCCGGTAACAACGGCGGCTCCAACACTGGCGGTGGCTCTGGCTCCAGCACCACCACACCCGCTACTGCCTCCTCCACAGTTGTCAAGGGTGCCTCATCTACCGTTGAAAAGTTCTCTGGCGCGGCCTACTTGGCTTTGGCTGTCCTCGCTGGTTCCTTGTCCCTGCTTTAAATGCTGGCATCCCAAGGCATTTACAGCCACATCAGCGTTTCTTTTTCTATATTGTCATAAACTAAACAGGGATAAACGGATGGACTAGTTACGATTACCAAGGCTCGGAATATAATCCAGGTGCTCATTTTTACAATATTTTTCTTTGCGACGTAATCCTTAGCTTGTCTCCCGATTATACAGGGCTTTTACTGAAGAATACAAATTGTACTACAAAGCTTGATTAATGCCAATGCCGCTTGTCCCTAAACATGTACGTAGCCGGTGCTGTGCTGCCAACTTTGGGCCAAAAAAAAAAAAAAAACCGTCCTTCAGTCCAAGATCCTTAAAGAAAACATTAGCCAGTCACATCAACTTCATCGGGCAGCTCGTAGTCCTCTGCGCCGTAGTCGGTCTTGTTGATATTTAGAGAGGCGATATCCAGTCCCTCCACACAGCGCATATTCAATGGCAACAAGTTGATATCCTTGCGATACACCGACATGACGAATTCTTTCCTCTCGGGCGGCACTTTGTCAAATACATTCAGTGGTGGTCCAGTGACGGTCGCAAACACAAATAGACCACATGTCGTACAGAAATGGTCTGCTCCGTACTTTTTGCCAAACATGTATGGTTTAGTGTATTCTTTCCCGTGAATACGAACTTGGTCTTTATTGGGGTATACGCCGATGTAGGCTTTCTGTTTTCAGCCGTGAGTGTACCGGCACTTCTGAGCAAGGGGAAGGGAGACTGGTACCCTGATGCAGGAACTGCAGTTGTCTTGCTTTACTTCTTCGGATACGGGAGTAAGCAGTTGAGCTTGGACTCGGCCGCAGTGACAGGAGAAAAGATGGTGTGTTTTGAGCTCCGAAGGACAATCTTGCAATGATTCGAGAGCGTGCTCGGGCTCATCCACGTGTGTGACGGTTGTATCTTGCCTACCCAGAGGTTAGGCTTCGCCGTCACCATAGTGTCGGTATTCTAGACTTCACGAACAGCAAGCAAGTTTATTGCCATCTGACCCTTTGTCGGTCCCGCGACATGTTCACCCGAAATACGCGTAGAGCACCTGCCGCAAAACTGTCGTACCTGGTCAACTGGTTGTGAGTAAAATGTTACGTCATGGTTACCTGGTGCCTCAAGGAAGCAGACTCGTACGTCTGTAAGAGGCCATCATCTCGCACTACTTTGCAACTCCCCTTGGGCGGCACAGTCCATATGTATCCCTTTTTCTTGCAAAGACGACAATCGCATGCGGTAGCCGACTTGATTTCAGGGACTGTCAATTCGAAGCGAAATCCCCCACAATGACAGTAACCTCTATATTTTGCTGATTCAGAGGGCATGGCGCTGGACACTCCCGTTGTCAGTTTGGCTGAGAGGTAGCGGGAGTTTAGAAAGAGAAGCCGCAGCAAAAGCGGGGTTGGTATATTTGAGTCTAGCTTCGGTATATACTGTTGACACACTTGCTTCGGCAGATTGGTTTCTTGCGGCTTAGATCCGGTCGTGTGGTTCAAGTTAGTGCTTACATTTTGTGCTACGCAGACTAAGCAGCCACATGAAGGGAACTGCCCTTTACGGTTATCGCACGTATTCTCAATCCATCTGTACAAATAGAGGACTGTGAATAACACGAAATCTTTTCTCGAAAAGATATAAATCTGCCGGTAAGTACGTGCTGGTAGTCAAGCGCCGATATCCGCCTGTCGCGCCTCGTCCTGCAAATTGGGTGTCTACTTTATCTTTAGCTTCGAAAAACTCGAGTACAAGTTTCCTATACTCTCATGTGCCAATGAACCAAAGCAAAAATACACGGAAGCGTACAGAAAGTGCACGGTTGGTTCCCCAGAGTAACTATAGTGGGAGGCAAAGATTATTCAGCCAGATAAGATGCCGGCCTTTCGCGCACGATACTATAATATGTTGCAGTATATTGGCGTATCTTTGTCTCTAGGAAAATATTTTCTGTAATAGACTGTAATCTACGTTGGTGTTGGTGGTGGCCATTGGCTAATAACGTGACACTACTCAAATCATCATGCAAAAGTCATCGACACCTGAATCTCTGCCCAGTACTACTTATCGATTCATTCGACACAGTTGCTATCACCTGGAAATTTCCCAGGGTAAGACCACTGCTTTAAAGCTTGTGCAAACGTTCCTCGTTCAGATGCTAATCTCTGGCGCTTTGTTCCCGTGGAGCGATACTGCGTTCTTCTTATATATTTGAAGTTGGATATATGTAATTGCTCTCAATTCTAATGCCACTGTAATTCACTTTCGTCTATCTCCTTAGCTTCTTTTAATGCTGGATGTGGATCATGATTGTTCTCTATTGGAGCAATGGACTGAAAGACCAAGTGATGATGACTTAAGAACCTTATAACAGTATTCCGACATAGTTTTCTTCATGTCCTTTTCCGGGGCAAGTTGGACTACGATGTAGTTTCTAATATTTTGGGCGAGGGTCGTGCAACTGAGCCGGTATTATCGTCGTAAGTGGCCGCGTAATGGAGATAAATCTATGCAAAACAGCAATTTCATGGCCAGTAGCTTGCTAATTCAATCTAGCAAACGGTCTAGCGAAGTATTCGTATAGCTTCTAATATACAAGGTAGAAGACCATCGACTCCTCCAAAGGATCGGGTTATCAACGTCGACCACCCTGCGATCCTCCCAGCGAAGATTCATGGAATTTCTTAAAATCACGGGGAAAACGCACATATTCAAGGAAAGAAGCGGCTTCATTATGCACTGGCTGAGATGGCAAATTTAAACACAGTCGGAAACTACGATTGTAGGCAGTAATATTTCGTCCAGCCAGTGGAACCTATGACTTGGCTATGCCGGAACAGAGACATAAGCGACTCGCTATGAATTCTTTTTTTAACGGACTTGGTGGCGAATTTGTTTATTTTCTCGACTCTGAAGATCCAGATATTAGAGAGCTCGTTTTGTCTTTTTTTTTTTTTTTTTTTTTTTTTTTTTTTTTTTTTTTTTTTTTTTTTTTTTTTTTTTTTTTTTTTTTTTTTTTTTTTTTTTTTTTTTTTTTTTTTTTTTTTTGTAATGTTTATGGATGTTTAGGGCAGTAAAAGCTCAGTTTGGTCAGCTATCACGCCATCACTTCCTCGCAACCAGCAAGGCTCCAGAGCGCTTCATGTTAACGTGGGGTCTGTACTTGAGGAGTGCATTACGTGTCCTTCTTGGATGATTATACGACTTGATTCGTATACATTTGCACCGTCACACTCGTCAAATGCGGCTTCTGTTGAGAAACAACCGGCTGGCCTCGACGCCCACCAGCTTTCCTTTGATAAGGATGACACCTACTCACTGGGATTTGCCATCTTCTTTATCACGCGGCCAATGTCCATCACGGGCACTGATTTTCAGCCCTTCAGCCCGTTCCTAGTGTTGATGTGCGGAGTTTCTCGGTCGTCCTGGTGGCGTGGTCGAGAATCCGTCGACGAGTTATCGTGTCTTGGGCTTGACGCGGCCCAGGTGGCGGTAAAAAATAAGCACGAAAAATAACATTGCAGGTCTATTGCATGATTCAAGTTTCTCGTGGGTCCGACGGAGTATCGGTATACTCTTTTGGAGCGAGAATCCGTCGCATGGTTCGGAGCGGATCGTCGTCGGTCGGCAGTTGTATAAGCACACGACAAAGTCACCAGCCCCCAGCAGCCAGAACCAAGCCGAAGCATTGGTCAGGAAGGAAATTAGAAATATCTCACATTCATATCTCACCGAGCTGAGGGGCAATTTCCCCCATGAAGGATGGCTATTGCAATGATGTGGTCGCATATGAGAAAACGGGTTGGCGTGATTTTGAAAAAATATTGCGTCTGAAGCATCTATAGATAAGGGCCATCACATTCAGCCCTAAATAAAGCCAGAGACTAAAGCCAGGAGGTATGCCAACCAAGCCGAGACGGTTCTCAGCTTCGGACAAGGCAGCTGGCCCCCGTTGAGCAGAACATAGTTTTGCTTCTCTCTACACGACGCAGCATGCTGAGACGAGCCGGGGATGAAAGGGGTCGAGAAGCGGGCGTGATTGCATTTTTTAGCGTTTCCATAAATCCTACGGGGGGTAGGGAATATGGAATTACGACAAGGCCCCCCTCATCGACCAGGCCATTCACGTCGAAGGATTTTGTGAGCTAGGAAATGGCGTCATCACGACCCAAAGAAGTTGACAGTTGAAGACGGCAAAGACCCACACAAGGAGGCTGAGATTGTTGTCAAGATGTGAAATCAAGTGCGCGCTATTGAAAGTTACGGCAAGTAGCTTACGACGGTCGACGACGAAATTTAGCCAGGCTGAAAAGGACGGTGGGAAAATAGATTTTGAGTTGTGAACATATGCAACGCAACAGTGCCACGGGAAAGGCGCCTTTCTCTCAGGAGCCAGTCTAGTTGCTCGTGGCTGGACGTTTGTTCCGATTAAAACTAACACATGTGAGTGTCGCTTCATGCAAGGTGATGATAGATGCTCGGGGGATTTCTGATGTGCACAAGTCAAAAGTCCAACATGGGCCACGATGATGACTTGGGTTATTGGAGGCACAGCGACGGCCAAGATATACTTATGAGCCACCCCTCGGCCCATCGCTGGTCCTACAAGCCCTGCAGCGACCGACGGGCCATGATCCGATGCATTCCTACCCGTCAGTTTGGATCATTGGCAAGGAAAAGAGGGTAGGAGATGCGAAGCGACGCACAGAGGCAACGTTGACAGTGACGGCGACTGCGACGGCGGTCCCACGTGTCTCCATCGCATGTGCATATGTATGTACGTCGGTTGGTATGTACGGTCGATACAGCTGCTACACGGCTGTGGCTTGACGCTATGCTCTGGTCGATCTTGATGAGGCGCTCCGGTGTGGACAATATGCGGGTTTGGCGGGCCAAATCATGACCATCCCAAACGCATATTGGCTCATCTGTCTGCTCCCTGCCAGCACGCGATTCCAGCTTCTCCATTCCTGGCCATTCCTGGAGAGCAAAGTTGGGCCCCC